GGCTCAGGTCATGATCCCAGGGTCCTGGGATCGAGCCCCGCATTGGGCTCCCTGCTCCACGGGAAGCCTGCTTCTCCCTCTCCGACTCCCCCTGCTTGTGTTCCCTCTCTCGCTGTGTCTCTCTCTGTCAAATAAATAAAATCTTAAAAAACATTTTTTTTTAAAAGGATCTTTCAAACACATCGTATTGGTAGTGTGTGCGGGTAGAGTCTTTATTATCATGGACGGTATTGTAGGATGGCTATATTTATTAGGTTATTCTTCCTTGCATCTCAGAGAAGCAGCTGCCTCTCTGAACTTTCTCCCATTCGGTTCTAGTTTTGCCCTCGTGGAGCTAAACAAAAAAATTCCACACCCTCTCCCACCATTCCAAGACAGTCATCATGGTCCCTCTTCTGCAGCCCCCATCTGCCCTCTCACAGGATATGGGATTTTCCTTATTCCTCCCCAGGATGCTCTGTAGTTAGATGGCATTCCCCTTGAAGGGTCCTGACCACTCCATCCACCCCCGCACCCGCATCTGGATGATGTACTTCTCTACTCCTAGCAGGAGAGGAACCTGAGATATTATGTGACTGGGCCATACAGCAAGATAGTGTAAGAAGTAAGATTTGGTTAGAAGCATGCATTTAACTGTTTTCGGTTAGACATCCCTGCCCTTGGCCTCTGCTACCTGGTTATCAGGATCGGGGAACTGTAAGCCTCGGTGATGTGGGGGTAGCTTCAGGCGGGGCATCTCCCTCCTCACTCCACATTGGGTTCTCTGAGCACAGCACTAGAAGCCCCATGCCCAGATAGCAGTTGACACTCCCCTTCCTTAGATGTGGGTGGAAGGTCCTTCAAAATGTACTGGAAGGATTGCAAGCCGTGTACCTATCTTCCAGGCTGAGTGGACCGGGCTCAGGGAGCTGAGGGTGCCTCTATCCCCATGTGGAATAACCCTCCTCCCTCATCCTCTGCTGTTTTATCTGTATGAGCCCTTTATAGACACCAGTGCTTACATTTCTTTGTTATTGAGGTAAAATTGACATATCATCAAGTTAACCAATGTATAGTGAACAATTCACTGGCATCCAGCGCATTCACAGTGTGTACAACCATCACCTCAATCGACTACTGCTTATTACTCCAGTGCAATCCCTTTCTCACCGCAACATTATCCTCACCACAAAAGAAAACCCCATACCCATTAAGCCGTCGCTCCCCATTCTCCCTTCCCCTCTGCCTCTGGTGAGCACCCCTCTGTGTCCTGGCTGTATGGATTTACCTTTTGCATCTTGAATATAAATGGGATCATTCTATATGGGACCTTTTGTGTCTTGCTTCTCTCATTGAGCATAACCCTTTCGGGTTTCATCCACATCACAGCATATGTAGTACTTCATTATCTTCCATGGCCAAATAATATTTCACGGAACGTAGTACATACTGCCGTATTGCTTATTTATTCCTCTCTTGATGGACATTTGGGCTGTTTCCACCTTCTTGCTGTTGCGAATGATGCTGCAATGAACATGTGTGCACATGTACTTGTTTGAGTCCTGGTTTTTAATTCTTTGGGACATATATCTAGAAGTAGAAATATGGGGTCATCTGATAAGTCTATGTTTAATTTTTTAAGGAAGCTATACATTTCTTTTTTAAATAGCAACTCCACTCTGGAACTTTCCTGCATATGGAGAGACAGGGGAAGTAGGTGAGGAGTCAGGAGATCTGGGTTCTTTTCCTGGCCTTGCCGCTAACCAGCAAATTGAGCAAATCATTTCCCCTTTCTGGGCTCTTGTTTCCTCATTTGAAAAGTAAGGGGACTGCATAAAGCTAAATGATCTTTCAGTTCTCTTCGTCTTTTAAGATTTTATTGGAAAAATTGGGTTCCAGAGAGAAGAGAGAGAATTGCCAAACAGCTATCCATGATTATCTCTATATGCATTCTCTACTGTGTTTTTAAATTGTGAGTTAAAAGCACCCCAAGTAATTGGGCTTTTTTTCCCCCTGCCTATGTGTTTCTAGTTAATGAATAGCTTCTGGCTTCTTATTTCCATCAAGATTCCCAGAACAAGATATCCTCTTGCCCATCACTTCCTACAGCTTGGCAGCTCCTGAGCAAAACGTGGCAGTCATGACGCCAAGGCTGGAGCCGTCCCATCCCCACTGTCCTCTCTGAAGGAATGCTGAGCCTCCTCCCCTGCTAGTTTGCTCATCACTAAGGTGTCAGCTGAATCACCTGAGTCTGGTCTTTGGAGATGTCGGATCCAAGGAGAGGAGTTAGCAGACTCTTCTTTAGTCCATGTAAAGACCATCTTAGAAGGTTGGGAGGAAGAACCAAGGACCTCCTGTGATACTGTCCAGCCAGGAGATTTTCCTCCTTAGGGGATTTCTACTCTCCTGAGCCTCTTCCAGCTGACTGATTCCCTGGCCCGAGTGCAGTGCCTCGGTAGGGAGGGAGTTTTTCCTCCACTAATTGATAGCCTCCACAGTATGCCATCCAGGTCCAAAGCATGTGTTCTCCTGAGCTGCCTGCTGGCTTTCTGGGGGAAGCATGAGGTTTTAAAAAAAACATGTGATCCAAGTGGTTTATTTCATTCGGCCAGCCATTTATTTGCTCATTTTTCATCCATCCATCTGATACTTTTGAGTGCCTGCTGTGTTTTCAGCACCACGTTAGATTTTAGGAATAAACAAGATGAGGCACCTTCCCTATGGTGCCTTCCTTTTTTAATAGGGCATACAGATGAGTGGCTTTTGGAATGAATACAATGAATACAAAGTGACAAATGCTGGGGTGCCTGGGTGACTCAGTCAGTTAAGCATCCAACTTTTTTTTTTTAAGATTTATTTATTTATTTATTTGAGACAGAGAGAATGAGAGACAGAGAGCATGAGAGGGAGGAGGGTCAGAGGGAGAAGCAGACTCCCTGCCGAGCAGGGAGCCCGATGCGGGACTCGATCCCGGGACTCCAGGATCGTGACCTGAGCCGAAGGCAGTCGCTTAACCAACTGAGCCACCCAGGCGCCCAACATCCAACTCTTGATTTCAGCTCAGGTCATGATCTCAGTGTCATGAGTTCGAGCCCCCGTCAGGTTCCACGCTCAGCAGGGAGTCTGCTTGAGATTCTCTCTGCACCTCCAGCCCACTCATGAGCTCTCTCTCTCTCCAAAATAAATAAATCTTTAAAACAAAAGTGACAAGTGCTATATAATGGGGAGGGGGTCGTAAACGGTGTTCAGGAGTACAGACGAGGGACGCACAAGTCATACTTGGCAGATCCTCATGAGAGGGCAGATTCAAAGCATGTTCTAGACAGAAGCTAATCTGCACAGAAGTCACAGAGCAGGACGCATGAGGGGACCTGGCAGGTGACCAGTGTTGGCTGGAACACAGGGAGAGGGTGGTGGGAGGCAAGATTGCAGAGGGGGGCTGTGCTCGGGAGGACACCTGAGCCACGTCGAAGGATTTAGCTCTCTGGCAACTGTGAGCTAGTGAGTTTGATTGGGGAGTGGCACACTTTCATCTGCACTTTAGAGAAGGAAACTCTGGTGATGGTGGCGAATGAGTCAGAGGGGTAAGAGTACAAGTGGGGAGAGCCCTCAGGAAGCTGTTGTGGTCACTGTCATGAAACAGTGGTGACCAGAACCAGGGTGGAAGCTGTGGGAAGGGAAGCAAGTGGATGGAGTCCAGAAATACACATGAGTCTGGGGGGCTGCTGTTGGGCCCAGCTTCCAGGAAAGAAACTGCTGCAGTCGGAATCCGAATCCTTTAGCTGGCCCCATATCCCAGCCCAGGGGAGGTGCCTCATCCTCCAGGTCTTCAGAAGGGTAACCTTGTCTCCCAGGAGCCAGCCCTGGAGCCCTGCTCCTTTTGCCAACAGCCTCAGGCAGGATAGATGGGAGATGTGGTGGGGTACAGAGAAGAGAAGAATTCTGGGGGAACCTCCTCCTGCCACCCTCTTTGACTCGGCCTCAGGGCAGAACAGCACACTGCACCCAGTTTGAAGACTCCACGTTTCAGACCCGTGACAATCTTAAAGCACTATACCTCAGTGCCTACCCTAGGCCACTCTTCTTTTTTCAAGCATAGTTAACATACAGGGTTGTATTAGTTTCAGGTGTACAATATAGTGATTCAGCAATTCCAGACATTACTCAGTGCTCATAAGGATAAGTGTACTCTTAATCCCTTAATCTGTTTCACTCATCCTCCACCCACCTCCCATAGGCCATTCTCTCTCAGGAGGTGGGGAAAAGGGTTTATCTCTTAAAGACTCATTCTAGGCCCTTTGGACAGTCATTTTTAATCTTTCCCCTTAGAGGGCCTGGAATGATTTGTTGTGCTTGAGAATGTGAACATTGGGCTGTCATAATATCTCTCATTCTGCCAACCTGCTGGACTCCCCTTCTTCTGGGTCATAGTCTCAGCATTGCCCGTTATCTCTAAAGGGACAACATCCAGGACCACTGTATCTTTGCTGCACAAAATATCTGCAGAAATCCATTTTTTAAAAAAAGTCCTTTAAGCAGCCAGCTTTCACCTAACCCCACACAATACATAGGGTTCGGAGAAGCTCTGAGATGGGTGTGTTGCTTACTGGCCCAGTGCATGGCATCCTCTAGGTGCTGGACCAGTGGGACAGTGTTTTTTCATGACTCTTCCATGCAGAGTTGCCCTTCCTTCTAGAACAGTGGTTCTCAACTGGGAGTGGTTTTGTCCTCCAGGGGACAGTTGGCAATGTCTAAAGACATTTTTGATTGGGGGCAGGAATGGGCTCCACTGGCATCTCGTGGGTAGAGGCCAGGGATGCTGCTAAGCATCCTGCAATACCCAAGATCGTTGCCCACACAAAGAGTTGTGGGTCCCAAATGTCAATAGCACAAGGTTAAGAAACCTTATTTAAGAACATCAGTCTGTGACCAAACCCTTGAGTTCTTCAGGCCCTGTAGGGTTGCTAGAACAAACCGCAAGTTCAAGAAAAACTCACTTGGCATTGTATTTCTTTCCACAGCTGAGCTCTGTCCGGGAGGCCCAGGTAGAGCGGCTGGAGGCAGCAAGACCCTGCAGGCCGGGGAGCAGGGAGCGGGACCCCGTGCTGAGGATGGCCAGGCAGCAGCCGCCGCCCTGGGTCCACACAGCCATCCTGCTCTGCCTCCTCAACCTCACTGGGGCCATCGAGATTCCTATGGATCGTGAGTCCTGCTCCATCCTCTTCTTTAATTCTCCTGATTTGGGGCAGAGGAGTTGAAGGGGAGGGATGGTCAGGGGGGAGTTAAGATCAGCTTTTCAAAGAGGCTGGAGAGCAGGGTAGCGGTGGATTCTGGATGGAGGCCGGCAGGCTTGTGTTTGGGACCGTGAGACGAATCGTGTAGCACGATCTCTGAGGACTGTGGCTGAGCTGAGGCTTGCGCTGTCTGGAGCCTGCTGAGCGGGACCAGAGGTGGCAGGGTTTACAAGTCTGTGTGTCACTCAGGAGTTCTTCCCTCTACTCCCCTCCCACGGCCCTCTGCGGTCTTGACTTGCCCATCGACGTGGAGCTTCCAAGGACCCAGTGTAGTGGATAGTTACATGCCTTTCTAATATCTGAGCTGGATCCTTGGGCTGTCTTGGCTGGACTGAATCAGGATGGATGGCCTGGGGATGGTTGGGGAAGGGAATTATTCTGCAAAAGACCGGGGCTAAATGAAACATTAAAATAGAGCTCCATTATAATGCCGCTGTGGGAAAACCAGGAGCTGATTTCTTGTGTTTGTTTTCAGCTCTCCCATGGCAAAGCTGGGAAGTAAAACCTGTGTCATTCTATGTCCCACGGTGGGGGTGTTATTTGGCCATCAGAATCATCAGGCAAGGGGCTTTGGATGCTGATCTAATAGCCCCATCTCTAGCAGCCATTCTGTTGTTATGTTCAGAAGGGGCCCATGGACTGGCAGCCCCGTTCCTTTGCCCCGCATTTAGATGTGTACCACCTTTGCCACAATTCTGGCCCTTCCATCAGAATGTCTTGGCATTCCAGTGCTCTGATGTGGGCATACCACCTCTGTCGCCTGTTCCTGCTTCCAGAAATAGATGGGACCCGCATGATGCCAACCCTGACTTGGGCTCTATCCAGGTGACAGATGTCTGGGGAGGGTTGGGAGAGTGATACAGCCTCCAAGGAGTGCCCACTGAGCTCTCCTAAGCCAGGGCCTGGGGCCTGGAGTTAGCCCAGCTTGGAGAAGAGTTGCACATACTTCAGCCCCCTCCCGCCCAACCCTACCAATAATAGCTGCCCAGAGGAGTAGGCACTTCTGGGTAAGAGAAGACTAGCAGAAACTATAAGTTGGACCCAGAAGCAAGATGCGCAAGGCCCCTGCTGCCCTCCCAATAGCCCTGTGTGTGTGTGTGTACGCATGTGTATGTGTGTGTGTGTGTATTCGGGGGGAGGGGTGTCGTGAAAGGAACTGTTCCCATAGAGACCATCTGCACTGCTAACTCAAAGAAGAGTGTCTCATTAACAATCCCAGGCAGACAATCTAATAAGGAGCACGATAAGGCCATGTCCCTGGAGAGGAGAGGGTGTGCCGAGGAAATTGGGTTATCAAGGAAGTGGTGAAGGCTCATTTCTCTTCTGCTGCTTCTCCTCACTCATTCACCTGCCACTTTGGTCCCTGGGGCCAGTGGGTGAGGGGTTCCTCCAAGATGAACTTATAAATAGATGGCTTTGACCTCTATGTTAGGAACCTGGATTTCTAAAGCGCTATTGGAGCCGTGGGCAGGTGACCCAGCAGTGGGTGTCTCCAAAGTACCGCGTGTGGGACAGAGAGCTGCAGGTGCCCTGACCTCCCCAGCACCATCTCCCCATCTCCTCAGTTTCCATGAGGAGGGAGGGCCCCGGAGAGTCCCCGCTTCTGGAATTGTCGTCAAGGACACGGAGACCCGACACAGCAAACGGGTGCTGGATTCATGAATAGACGGCTCTGTGCAGTGGCAGTATCGTAGCCAATGAGGTTTATCCGAGGCGCGATTATTGCTAATTGGATTCATGAATAGATCCCGGGTCTCTTGACCTGCCACCAGGTTGGCACTCGACACACCTCACCCCGACCTCCGGTAATCCCGCCTTCTTTTAGTTCTTGGAACTCATCAGGGTAGCAGCTGCTGTGCGCCCGGCCGAGAGCTAAGTGCTTTAGGAGCATCTCCTGTGATTCTCCCAGTGGATCCTTTGCTGACAGGTTAGAAAGTGGAGGTACACTCTCCAGCACCTAAGTGGTAGGGCCAGCGCATGACCACAGCCCCTCTCTGAATGAGGAAGGGGATCCCTTTATGACACTGTGTCTGGTGCCCCGGCTCTGTCACAGCAGGAAACCCATGCGGGCTTCCCGGAGGAAGTGCATCTGAGGTGGCTGCAGGCACAGTGGCCATGGCGACCTCTCCAGAACGAGTCTGCTACAGCTGAACGCAAGACAAGAGAAGGCCAGCCCTTCAGAGGGGACCCAGGTCCTCTTCAGCCAGCTTTTCCCCTCCTGCTGGGCCAAGCATGACAGGCACCCTCCCCCCAAGTTACCTGAGCCCATCCTTCCCTCTTACCCTGGGCTGAGGCCCAGGAGGATGGGCTGGGGAAAGATCACACATTCTTTTTCCTTTCCCCCTCAGAGTTACTGAGATATTTATTGATATACAACCTATGTAAGTGTAAGGCGGACAACTGGGTGATTTGCTACACGTATATATTATGAAATGATTGCCACATGGGTTCGTTTACCCGTCCATCCCTTCCCATAATTACCTTGTGTGCGTGCGGCGATAGCTTGGAAGATCTACTCTCGAAACAACTCTCAAGTGTATGGTACAGTATGTTAATTATGGTTGCCATCTGTGCATTCAGCCCCCAGAACATGTCCATCTTATAGCTGGACGTTTGTACCCCTTCACCAGCATCTCCCCGCCTCCCCCCACGCCCCAGCCCCTGACAACCAGCATTCCACTCTGTTTCTTCGAGTTTGACTTTTTTATTTTTTTTTAATATATTTGTTTAAAGATTTTATTTATTTATTTGAGACAGAATGAGAGAGAGAGAGAGCTCATGAGAGGGGGGAGGGTCAGAGGGAGAAGCAGGTTCCCCACCGAGCGGGGAGCCCGATGCGGGACTCGATCCCGGGACTCCAGGATCATGACCTGAGCCGAAGGCAGTCGCTTAACCGACTGAGCCACCCAGGCGCCCCCGAGTTTGACTTTTTTAGATTCTACATATAGTGAGAACATACCAGAGCTTTCTCTGACTTAATTTCACTTAGCATGAGGTCCTCAAGGCCTACCCATGTTGTCACAAAAGGCAAGAGAGATAACTATATCCCGTGTTCCCTGCAGCATTATTCGCGATCGCCCAGGTGTGGGGCAAGTGAAAATCAGGCACTCAAAGCTTTCTGTGTGTGTTACCCGGGAGCGGCTGAGGGGGCTGAGGCTGGAGGCTGGAGACTGCCCTGTCAGGGGCACCCTTCTGCTCGCCTGCCCCTTCAGGGGGCAGTATCTGTGCCTTGAGGACTGGGGCATTGCTTCTGCTCTGGGGAGTTTGGGCCCCGCGGCCTTCCTGGAACAGCCCCAGGCTGCAACACAATCCCTCATTGAAATACCAGCCTCCAGCCCCTACTCCTCGGCCAACAGAGTCACACACACCCACCCTCCCGCCCGCCCCAAGGAGAACAACATGACCTTTGAAGAAAGCAAAGGGTCGCCTCATCAACAAGAGCGGGTCTGCCAAAAAGTGAGTCTGCTGGCAGCTCGCCCCCCCGCCCCCCTCCCCCCATCGAGGGACTCGGCATTTTTCTCCTAGGAACATTTTTCTCCTAGGTGGGCTCCGCTTCATCCCTGCAGTTGTTTGGAAGAAGGATTTCTGTAGGGCAATGTACAGAGAAGACACATTTCGTCCTCACTGTCATCCCAAGTAGTGCTGCAAGATGACCTCAACACACACACACACACACACACACATTCACACACACTCCGTCCTCCAGGGACAGGTGCCAGGGGCTGTGGATATCAGCCAGGGAAAGAGAAGACATGCAGGCATACAGAAACCTTACAGACGGGGCAGGCCTCTGCCTTACCCGCTGCAGAGCTCATTGGAAGATTTTTCCCTCCCCCTCGGAAGCCGCAAGAGCAGACTCATTTTTCACTTGATATCAGCAGTAAGTTTTGTAGATGGGGAGAAGGGCAGGTGGCATGACATGGGGCTTGCGGGGTGTCACAGGACAAGGTAGGTTGCCCTTATCCCCAAGCAGGTGGTCCTCACTGTCATCTCCCTGTGCTGGCTTGTCTTCTGGGTTGGTTGTGTCTCTGTAATAAATTCCTTGGTGACACAATGGTGGTTGCAGATGTCAGGACCTCTTTAGGGAAGTAGACTCTCAAGAGGCCCCTGGCCTGATTTCATCGTGGGGCTGGGGACAGCATCCGGCCAGCTCTGAGAGTCTCCACTCCCCCATGGCCTCTCCCCTTACTCACCTTTGTCCTGAATGTCAAGGAGAAGAGCGTGCTGGGGCCCCACCTGGCCAACCCACCTCTCTGGCCAAGGATAGATTTGTAAAAAGAGCTCTGGACCAGACTACAGGAGAGCTGGTTCTCATTCCAGTTCTGCAGCAAATTTCCTATGTGACTTTAACTGAGTGACTTCCCTTCCAAGAATCTGAGATTCCCTGGATAATGTCTAGGACTCTTTCCATTGAGCCAGCCCTTGATTTTATAAGAGAGGCTTGAAGGCCATGTGGGCAAAATAGAGCCTCGGCCAGGGCAAGGTCAGAGCCCTCCACTGTGCGTGGGGACCTGAGAAGCATCAACTCTGTCTTGAGATGAAGAAACCGCAGGCCTGGGTTGGTGGTCCAAAGGAGTAGGTCAGTGTCAGCCCTGCTTCTCCTGAAAATGGCCCCTTCTCCCCACCTGCCCTCCAGGCCCAACTACACTGGCTTTCCAGAATTAACCTTTCTTGGGCCCCTGGCAGGAAAATCTTATATGGGTGAAGATGCCACTGTGGGGATCTCCAGGGAGCATGTGTTCAGAAACCACAGATTTCTGCTTTTCCCAAGGACTTTTCATTTCTTTTTGTTTCCTGCCAGGGCCGCACCCAGGTAAATGGTAAAGCAGATAAAATTACTTTTCGGTGCCCCAGCAGGCCACACAACCTTGGCCCACTTGATAGAATTATTCTGGACCTTTTAGTGTGTCTTATCAAGACTTTGACTTACTGACAGTGTGCATAGCAGGGGACCCCTTCCTGCCACACTCAGCCTCTCCTCCCTGATGTCTGTCTTCTCTATTGGGATCCTTCCGGCACCTCTTGGTCCTGCCTTAACTCTGCCTTCTCCACGCTGCCCCCTCTCTGGGCCCCTGAGCTCCTCTTCCATCTCCTCAGCCATCTCGTGGTGGCTGAGTCATGAAGCTTCGGGGTCACCTGGGCTCACCCACAGCCTCTGCTTTCCCCTGAAAAAGTCAGCCTGCGACACCAACACGTCCCTGACATCAGCACCAACGTGGAAGAAGCTTGGCATATGACTTCATGCTAGAGCCATAAAGAAAAGGCCTCTTACAAAGTTACAGAAACACTTGTTCTCTTTTCTGCAAATTTTAAACCAAGGCCGCCCTTCCCAGAAAGTTCATTACCATCGAAAGTCTTGCTGTGTGAAGCGTGGTACCCAGACCGCCAGCATAAGCACCACCTGGCTGCTTGTCAGAAATGCAGGATCATGGGGCGCCTGGGTGGCTCAGTCGTTAGGCGTCTGCCTTCGGCTCAGGTCATGATCCCAGAGTCCTGGGATCGAGCCCTGCATCGGGCTCCCTGCTCCGCGGGAAGCCTGCTTCTCCCTCTCCCATTCCCCCTGCTTGTATTCCCTCTCTCGCTGTGTCTCTCTCTGTCAAATAAATAAATAAAATCTTTAAAAAAAAAAAAAAAAGAAATACAGGATCTGCTCAGTAAGAACCTGCATTCTAACTAGACCTACCCCTCAGGTGATTCATAATACTTGTCAGAGTTTGAGAAGCCTGACCTCAAATAGGCTCATACCTGTACATAGGCCCGTGCACGTCTCAGGTGAGGGATGGGGGAGATTTGTGCTACCTGTCTCTTGATCTCTTCCGTAAAAAGTGCAGAAAGGAGTGGTGGGCTTCACTTCATCCCTGCAGTTGTTTGGAAGAAGGATTCAGTAGGGCAATGTACTTCTGCCATGAGCAGAGCCACAGTGATTCATCGGTCCCTAGAATTTTCCAAAGGGTAGGCAAGAAGGTGCTTGCATGTGTGACAGAGAGGAAGGTGCGGTGGGAGGAGTAAAGCCTGTGGACCATGCTTGGGGCCCTTGGGGCTTTGCTCTGAAGCCCTGGTTCAGATCTGCTGCCACCCAGGCTTCTCAGCCCCACACCTCTGGCCAGGGAGCCCACTTTCTTCAATAGCATCTAGAAGGATGGGCAGCATCTTCAGAGCCCAGTCTCTTTCAAGCAGCCTTGTCACTTTTGATATTTGGACTTCCCTTGGTGACATCATTTGGTCAGAGGCTGGTCTTTCTGCTCAGCTGCGTGGTTTGAGCTCCCTGTGGAGGTGTCACCTCCTCCACAAAGCACTCGCTGGGTCTGTCCCCCCTCTGTGTGGCTGTCCCACTGAGCTCTGCCGCCGGGACCAGAGAGCCCAGGCACCGCACCCTGCCCAGGCCAGCCTCAGCGTTCTCCCCGCAGGCTGGGGCGTCAGCAACCCGGGCGAGTAGTCATATGCAATAACCTATAACCAATGTCTTCTTTTCTCCCCTCGCAATGCTAACCCACGGGAACTAACAGCAAGCATTCAGAATGAGCGTAAGTCCCCCGGGCACCTCTCTGCACTCGTGCCTCTGGGTGGTAGGAGGGCAGCAAGGAGGGGCGGGAGAAGGTCAAGTGAGGAGATACGGGGAGGGGGGGATTAACCGCCTCTCCACCCTGCCTGCTGGGGCTTCTTGACTCCGGAGCCCCTGTAGTGCGGCCCCTTGCCACACGGGAAGGGAAGCGGCTCACCCCGAGCATCCTGTTGCTGGGAACGGCAGAAGAGCAGGTGGGTAAGAAGGGCCGCGGCTCCCCATGCTCTGGTGGCCGGCACAGGAGCACCATGAACATCAGAGATGGGGGCCAAGAGTGAGAGGAGCTGGCTCTTCGGCATGCAGACAAGTCCCTGGGGACGTAAGCCTCTCAGCTCCAGCCTCACCGCAGTTTGGCCATCCTTTGACTCTCCAGGGCTCAGAACCATCCTGGCCACTGGGTTCTGGAAAGCTAGCTGCTTTGTGTTCCTTGATCCATTCAATAAATGTATCTCAAGAACTCTTGTGCACTAAGCATTTACTAAGCATTGGGATATAAGAATGGGTAAAACAGAAGTTTCTCATAGGGATTCCATGAGATCTTAAAGGGATTCTTCTTACGCTCAGTCCTTAACATAACCCCCTTTCCTGCGGCCTGGTTTAAGGAGCTGGGTCCCTGGCATGGGGCACTGCCCACCCCCTGCTTGCCTGCTTGACACGTGGCTCCTGAAGCTCTTCATTTCAGCCATTCCCCAAGCCAGGGCCCCGAAGCCCTGACCACCCCCCGTTTGTGCTGTTGCAGTATCCCAGCCCCCAACCATCACCAAGCAGTCAGTGAAGGACCACATCGTGGATCCCCGTGATAACATCTTGATTGAGTGTGAAGCAAAGGGGAACCCTGCCCCCAGGTGAGTGCACTGGCAGGTAAATCCAAGCCCCCCCCCACCCCTGCAAAGAGTGCGGGTATTGAAGAGGTATTGAAACCATGTCCTGGCCCTGGCTCTGAGCATAGTTGAAGCAGCTGGAAAATTAAAATTATCCAGCAGACATCTCTTGGATACCTACCTGGTGGAAAGTACAATTCAGAGAACTAAGACGTTTAGCAGATGAGGAGACTGGGATCCAGAAATCTTAAGTGGCTTAAGGTCACACCACGAAGCCAGGACTAGAGATTAAGTTTTCTGACTGTTGGTGTCGCGCATTCTTTCCAATGCCTTATGTCCCCAACATCCCCCCACCCCATGCCTAGCTTATAGGAAGTTCCTCCTGCTGGCTAACTTGAGTCTTCCATTCTGAGCACATCTCAGCTTGTGAGCACATCAGCATCGAATGAGGCGTCAGCAGACAAGAGCTGAAGGCCTGCAGTGTGCAGGCTGAGTTCAGTGTTGCTCCTCACTGGCTCGTGAGAGCACCTCGCTGCCCTTCATAGACGGACCCATGTCCTCGTGAAGAGGAAGTGAAATGGAAGCACAGAGATATTATGTACTTTTGCGAAGGTCACTCAGCTTGAAAGGGGGCAGAGCCTGGGTTTAAACCCAGACCTCTGACGGCCCCCCTCCGCCCCCCACCCCAGGCCAGTTTGTTTCTACCAAACAAAAGACACTGGAGATCTAGAGATTGTTCTGCTATTTGTCCCCCACCTTCAAAGCAGCATCCACAGGCTGGACCGTTCAGACCAGACATGACAGGACCCCGTGCTGGGCATCTGTCAGGAGAAACGAGGCAGGGCGGAACCTCGGGTGTGTGGTAGCCTCCTTCTACCCACCCCCCACCCAGTTTGCATGAGCCTGAGAACAAGCAGGGCCTCTCTCATCCAGGCTGGAAGAAGCAGGGTCACCTGGAAGGGTCAGGCAGCACATAGATGGCCTTCTGAAGTTTGGTCCTTTCCACCGTGGTTCCTTTGCAGGGACAATGATTCCATGACACTGAGCAGCCACTAGTCCTCCGGCTTCTTTTAAGGTTATGTCCTGGGCCGCTGCAGATGTATCTCCCCCCCCCCCCCCCCCGGAAGCAAAGGGAGATCTAGTCTCTTCACCTCTGGGACCTTTTGAAGGCTGCTGGCTCTTTCAAAGCTGCCCCTCCTGGGCTATAATGTGAGGCCACTGCTTTATACTCTGCACCCACTGAGCAGATAACCTGAGCCATTGCCCTTTGGCTTTAGAGTCAGCTCTCACACAAGGAGACAGGAGGACCAGAGCTAACTCCCTAATGTGCTTGGCTCGGGTGAAATATGAATTTGGGTTTGCATTCGTAGTCGGAGGTTGAGATGCCCTGCGGGGGAAGCTGCAGCTAACGCTGGATTTTTAAAAAACTCAAAGTCCCTGCCTGCTCCTGCAAAGAACATAAACCCCCAGTGGCTCTTTGGGTACCTCTCACAGCCATGACTCCCAGCCTTTGCTGGGTAAGAGCTCTAATGTCAGGAGCCTGCCCCCAGAGTTTCACATTTCACCTGTGGCTGTGACCTGGGACTCTGCATTTTATCCAGCTTCCCAGCCAGTTCTGCCACTTAACCAGGGTGGTATGGAGGTGTGGCTTTGGGACTGGGCCAGGGACCAGGGCCCTGAGGTTCTTGCCTGGAACCCAGAGCCCAGCGTGTTCCTCCTTATTGCCCCTGCTTCTCCCCTCCATCCCCCCCACTGCCCACAGCTTCCACTGGACTCGAAACAGCAGGTTCTTCAACATCGCCAAGGACCCCCGAGTGTCAATGAGGAGGCGATCTGGGACCCTGGTGATCGACTTCCGCAGCGGGGGGCGGCCCGAGGAATATGAGGGGGAATACCAGTGCTTCGCCCGCAACAAATTTGGCACAGCCCTATCCAATAGGATCCGTCTGCAGGTGTCCAGTGAGTGGCACACGGTGGGACTGGCATGCCTTGCTCCTGGGTGCATGGGGCAGGGAGGCCTGGAGGATCATTCCAGAAGGGCCACCCCTGTCCTTGGCCAATGGATGCCTTGATGCCCTGCATATCTTTCTTGCTTTCCTGCCCCTGAGCAGGAGTACACCTCACCCTGCTCAAAAAGATTCCTTGGAAAGGAGGCTTCCAAGCCAGAGTCTTGAACAACTGCACTGACACTCTGGGCACGGGAGGAGAGGAAGGAGAGGAGCCTTTGGAGAGGTGTATCTCTTTAGACAGAAGGCCTCTCCTCTCTTGCTGCACCTGGCCTAGACTCACGGGCCTTCTCCGCCCGCTCCCTTGTTCTCTTGTTTGCCCTTCTGCCTTTCCTCCTTGTATGCCTGCCTGTAGCCGAGCTCCTTGCTCCTTGCCCTCCATCACCCTCACTTCATGATCTTCCGTCTGATTCTCCCCAGAGTCTCCCCTGTGGCCCAAGGAAAACCTAGACCCTGTCGTGGTTCAAGAAGGCGCTCCCTTGATGCTCCAGTGCAACCCCCCGCCCGGACTTCCATCCCCAGTCATCTTCTGGATGAGCAGCTGTAAGTCTTGGGGGCCCGGTGTTCGATTTCTGCTTTCATCTTAGGGAGTGGGGCCGGTGTTCTAAATAGGAGGGCCTTGCCCAAGGTCGGAAGACGTTGACTTGTGAGAAGCAGGTGTAAGGGGGCCACATGGCTGAGAACACATCGAGAGGTGGCTCAGGCTCATTTCCTAGCCCAGCTGCTCTTAGCTGTGTGATCCTGAGCAAGTTGTTTAACATCTCTGGGCCTCAGTTTGCTTTTCTGGAAAAAAATAGGGCTAATAATTGTACTTATCTAATAGGATCATTGTAAGGATCAACGAGTTAATACATCCAAAGTGCTTATAACAGAACCAGACGCGCAATAAGTACTGAGTAATATTTGTGATGATGAAGAAGAAGAGCAAGAGAAAAGAAAAGAGGAGGAAGGCGGGTTGACACCAAGCCTCCTTTCAATCTTTGGTCCGTCTGGATTTACTAAGTGCTGCCTTTCTAGGACAGAGGAGCACAGGAATGAAACCTTTGATGAAGGAGCGACAGGGAGACAGGATGTTTGTAGCAGGGGGACAGAGTATCATCACTGAGAGCTTGTCCTGTTTCATTTTGGGCATTTGGAGATTAATTTAACCACTCTGGACCTCAGTTTCTTCCTGTTTTCAATTAAAGTAAGTGGGGGCGTGTTATAAAGGGGCCTAGAGCATTGCTAGCTGTCTGTGTATTCCTGGCTTCCCCTCCCTCTCCTCCATACCTGCCCCCCCCCGCCCCCACCCCCACCTCTGGTCTATCCATCCATCGGTCAGTCTATAGATCTGCCTGCTGCTTAGCATCAGTCATCCGTCCATCCCTGAGTTTTTACCAGCCTGTTTCCAAAAGAGGCAGGGTTGTGAGCTGTTTTGCAGAGAGAGTGCGGCTTTGTGCTCACCCATTGTCTCTCTCTTTGTCATCTCAGTGCAAGTGCGTGGGAAGGGCTGCCTGGCCATAGGCTGGAATGTTGGTTGATTTGCTAACTCTTCAGACTCTCTCGTCCCTGCATCACACCTGTCACCAGCTTATGTCCATGCTGTGTCCTGAGCAGATCTCATGTCCCTCCTCTTTCCATCATCACTGGCATCTCCCCAGTGTAGGCCACCATCAGCTTTTCCCTAGGTGGCAGTAATCATCCATAACTGGTCTCCCCGGTCTTTCTAAAAACATACATCTGATCGTTTCATTCATATGCTCCCCGCCGTTTACTGGCTCCTCCATCACCTCGGACAAAGTCCACACTCCTTTCCCTTCCTGATCTAGTTCCCTCTGCCTCCCTGGCCTTTCTCCTACCCCTGCCCCGGCTGTGTGTTCTTAACTTTTAGCACCCACTGTTCCTGCTGCTTGGAAACCTCCTAGGGCCCCTGTCTCTTCTGCCTGGTGTCATGAAGCCTCCAAGGTAGAGCTCAGGGCCCCCTGGCAGGGACTCGGTGCTCCTCCTCTCAGCTCATCCCCTTCCCACTAACCACACTGCATAGCAGCGATTTCTCTATCTACCGCCTCTTCTAGGCCAAAGGCTCCTTGAGGGCAGGAACTGTCTTACTCATTTCCCTTTCACCAATCCCGGGCACAGTGCCTGGCACACAGTAGGCCTGCAGGAAATCTTTGATAATAAGTCATTTGAAGAACTGCCCAGCCCCTCATTAGAAAGATGGCATCATTAACTTTGCACTTTATGGAATGGTGATTTAATAAACCGTTGTGGGGGATGGGAAGGAGTTAGCAAGGAACAGTCAGCCTGACAAATATGCTTTTACAAGTCGAATAACCTGCAGACGTGGTCATTTGAGTTGACATCTGATGCTTCAAATGTAGTCCGTACCCACTGCCACTCCCATGATGTCATTAATTCTAAAAAACACCATTTTCATCTTTTAACATCTCTAAAAGTAGAAAGCGTCCTAAAATTGATGGTGTGCATCATTGATTAGTATGTATCTTACAATTATAATTGGCAGTGCTTTTCCCTTTCCTGGTGGGAGTGAGGGCTTAAAAAAGAAAACAAGTGAATTTGACTCCTGACTTGGGGAGCATCTGAAGGATTGTGTTCCCTCCCTCCGGTTCAGGGCCAGTCGGAGCTTGTGTGATGCGAACGGGAGCTAGAAAAGTCTGGTCCCGGAGCCATGGGCGTGGTGGGCAGGCGGGTCCGAATCTAAATCCTCCTGTTCTCTCACTGCTTTTGCAACCCAGGACAAGTTAAGTCCACTGCTTTCTTATCTGTAAAATGGGAATAAGCCCTCCTTCAGAGTTGAGAGGATGAGAGGAAATCATGTTCTACTCCTGGCCCCACCTGGCTCTCTGCTGGTGCTCAGTCGCCAGACCAAGCACGACCGTCACTCCTGTTACTGTGACCGCTAATCTCCATCTGTACCTCTGCTTCCTTACAGCCATGGAGCCCATCACTCAAGACAAGCGCGTCTCTCAGGGCCATAACGGCGACCTGTATTTCTCTAACGTGATGCTGCAGGACATGCAGACAGACTACAGCTGCAACGCACGCTTCCACTTTACGCACACCATCCAGCAGAAGAATGCCTTCACCCTCAAGGTCCTCACCAGTAAGTGCAGGTCCCGGCCCGGGGCTGGGAGCCAGGGGCGGAAGCCCACGGAGCCCGAGGAGCCCCGGGTACCTGGGTCTGGGGCAGCCTTGTCCCCGAGGCTGACCCAGAAATCCTTCCAGCTTATGAGGCCTGAGCTCGTTCAGCGGCTCTGAAACCACATCGCTTGATTCTGAAGCCTTGCTAAACTCGGTCCTACTCTGAGTCAATGCCTCTCAAGCTTCTGGGGCAGTCCGAATCACCTGGCCCACAGGGCAGCCATCCCCAGCCCAGCCCGAGCCTGCCTCCACGGCCCTGGCCTCCGTGTCCTCCCTCTGCTCTCCGGGTGCTCGGGACACACAGCAGCACTGCTTTGAGTGGTCATCTAGTCCCTGCCTGGTAGTCTGTACTTCTAGAAACAAAGCCACAGGACAGAATATCCGCTTTAGCAGGGACCCCAACACAAACTGTGTTTGATGCCGGACCACATGGGATGACTACATTTGCAAGCTGGAGATCTATGTTCTTGTTTTATTTGTTTTCATTTTTATTTCCGTATTCTGTTTGGCTGGTACCAAATGGGTCAGCATTGCCTGACCCAGGATAGCGTGGGTGGCCTCGCAGAGGAGAGAAGCGAGTAGTCAGTTCCCAGACATGCTCCTTGCTGGGGCCCCACCGGCCTGGAGCTCTGGCTGCACGTCCTCAGCCTGCCTAGGACATTGATTTCCAAGGGGCTGTGTTCGTCTGCACCATGGATTTGTAATAGGCCTTCTATAGAGGAGCCCCCCACCCCCAAAAGACCTTGGTCTGTGTGACTCAGCTGTGGATGCTGTTTTCCACACTGGGGACAGTGATGGTTGTGGGGGAAGCCAAGCAAAGGGCCTTATGTGGATACTGACAGCTGCCCCGGGTTGGAGAAGAGGGCCTGAACCCCGGCTTCCCCGAGCCCATGCGCCTCTTGGGGGGCGTCGGGGAAAGGCCAAGGGAGCTTGCTCCTCACTCAGGACAGCTAGGGGCCTGGTCTTCTTTCCTCAGCTGCCCCTGCCAGTGATGGAAGCAGGTGGTGCCGAGAACCCCAGCCCCACACTCCATCTCCACCCGGCATTGAGGTGGACCCACAAGAAGCAGCTTCCTTCTTGTTCTCCTTCTCCTGTGTGGGAGTTCTTCCTCTCCTTTTCATTGTCTTCTCTTTGCTTTCTCACTCCCTTCCTCTCTATTTCCCTCCCACCTTCTTCCTTGCCTCTTTCCGCCTCTCATCTTCTCTCTCTCTCGGAACCCCATCTACCCTCCTCCAGCACCCCCGCTCCTGCAGCTCCCCACGCACTGTTCTGAGTTGGAGTCGGGCTGCCCACAGTTTGCTGACCAACAGGATGGCTGGAAAACCCGGGATAAGCCCCCGCATGCTCCTGGCAGTAGACCCAGCCTCAGTCTACTTTGCTGCCCCCTCACTAGCCTTCCTATTCCAGACCCAGGCCCAGAGGGGACCCTTGGAGAAGAAAGTTGGGTTGTCTGAAGTGTCTCAGTACACGTCAGGAGGGATCCCCGGCCAGCTGGCTGAGCTGCAGAGGACAGTGTGGTCTGCCCAGGACCTCAGAGTGGCCTCCGGAGCCAGGACAGGGTGACAGCATGGGGCAGTGAAGGCGGCGGGAGCATCGAGCAGGATGCTCACTGAGCCAATCCCTGGATGGTCCTCAGTGCCATCACCTGGCTTCCTCTGCCTGCCCAGTGTGATGCTTAAAGTCAGACTCCTGTTTGGGGACTGAGTCAGGTGGCCTTCTGCGGTCCTGGGCAGAGGCCCTCAAGGTCACACAGGGTAGAGGCAGGAAGGTGGAGGTGCTAAAGAGCCTTTCTCTGTGGAATTAGGCAGTTAGAGATGTTCAGCAACATTTAGAAGTCGGGCTTTCCAGAAACATCCTTTTGTCTACCAGAGGAGGTAAGGGCTGTTTGTTTCTGCTTCATTTCTGGGTCCCCTACTCCACTGAAAACTCTTTCCACCAAATGCCAAGAACCCCCCCAGGTGATGGGAACAGAGCCCTGTCTGCTTCCTGGAGTTCTCCCAGGGGCAGCTTTGGCCAGGAGCAAGTTCTGGGCATCTGAGCCAGCCCAGAATTGGGTACAGTTGCTTAAAATAGCACACTTGTGCTCTCTTTGCTTTCCTGCCTGGAGAGGACACAGGCTCTTTCTTGTACCTTCAGAACCAGGTCTGGGGGTGGGAGGAAAAACAGCCAAGCTGGGACAGCTTCCAAGTCTCTCCTCACCGCGCGTTTCCGTCACAGTTTGCCCCTTAGGAGAAGACACCAATCTCATCATGGCTGATTGTGCGTTACCTACATTTAAGGAAGGGCCGGGGGGAAAGATATCTAATACAAAACGCTGGGCGATCTGAAACCATTTTTAAAATTTGTTTTGGGATGCAGTCAAAGACAAACAGTGGAGTCAGCCTCACAGAGAGGTGATGTGCCTGTCCCACTTTGCCCATGCCAGAACAGGTCCCTTTGGTGACCATGGTGAGGGAGAAGGAGTCTCTCCTGAGGCAGACCATGGAGCACTAACCCTGCTTCCTCCTAATGTCTGCTATCTAAGTGGCACTCTTAGGAGTCAGAAAGTCTCCCTGAATTGCTCAGATGTGCTGCAGAATCCACAAACTGTAAGATCAGTTCCAAACTTGGGTCACTTCTCTGGAAAGAGAGCAGTTCTATTTCACCTGGTGGCATGGGAGCTTAGGAGCATGAAGCCAGGGCCCTTTAAGCTGTGTGCCCCTGTCCTCCCCACAGAGAGGGATGTCCCCTCCTGAGTGCGGCCTCAGCCCCTCATCCCTTCTGCCACCCTGCCTCTCCATTCTACTGCAGGTTGGTTCCCACCCCTAGCACCAGACAAACCCAAGCTGACTTCCCAAACAGGCTCGGTCTTACAACATACCCCATCTTAAGGGATAGTTCTGAATAATGCAAATCTGCCTACCAGGCTTTAAGCACATTTGGGAAGCAATAGGGGTCCCAGCAAAGAGTGCGCACAGCCTCTGCAATCCGTTTTAACAGGAGTTGATCTGTCTTCAAATATGCAAATATTCTGGCACAGCACCTCGCCTCCCTCAGGCGCTTGCTTGGACCAGGTCGGCTTCTCAAGGCTGTCTGCTTGGCTTCCATTCAGCTGTACCGCCCCCCACCCGCTGTGGGTACCATCAAAACTTGAACCCAGTAGCTGGACGGGGATGGCGGTAGAAGAATGAAAAGCCTAGCCTTGGCAGGTTTAAGTGCCCTATTCCAAAACGTCTTTCACTGAGGATTAAATGCCCAGCGGTCTTAATTACCTGACATTGGAACCAAAGGCACCCGTCTGCTACTTAAGGAATGACTTCAGCCCAAGCCAGTCTAGGAGCTCGGAATCTCCAGCTTAATCTATACGCTCTTTCCACCAGAGACATCTCAGAGACCAGGGTGGTGCCCACTGGTCAGGTGGGGGTGCGGGGGCGCTTGCCAAGGGCCCCTCTGTCCCTCTCAGCTGATGAACTATATCTCTTGGACTGTCTTCTCTCACTGACCTCCCACCTTTGCACCTTAGCTTCTGCCCAGGGAGGGCTTTGCTCTTTTCCTCAGGGCTCACTCACACTCCTTTCTCTTTAGCTGCCCCGGGAGCTGGCCTGATCCAGAGTCCTGGGAACTGAGGATTTTGATGGGAAGTTGTTCAAAAGACGGCTACGGGATGCCACTAATCCTTATTTCATTTGTTTGAAATACAGTAGGATCAAGCCATTAAAGGTCAAACCTAATTTCTTTCATTAAAAAGAAATTTCTTTTATTATTGCCTTCTTTTGCAGGATTTAACCTTTTCTTCCCTTTTTTGGGCTGTTTTATGTTGCTTGTTCTTCACCAAACACATTTCCTTTCCAAATATGCTGTGTCTTTCCTTTGCAAAATCCCCGGTTGTTTTCTGCGGCTTTGCATTTCTGTTGTTCTCTCCCTGTTTATGCCTCCATGAGCTGTCCGTGGCCTCCTGTTTGCTCACCCTCTTTTGTTTATTGCAGACAACCCCTATAATGACTCGTCCTTAAGAAACCACCCTGACATGTATAGTGGTGAGTCGCCGCGGTAACCTTGGGAGTAACCTTGCCTGTCCTAACCCCAGTTTGCCTAACTTGACTGATACCGTGTCTCATTAACTCATGCTGGGTGGCAGGGCTGACAGTCGGCCAGACCAGGGTGCCAAGGGGCCCCCTTCCGGACACTGCTCTCCGGGAGGACGGTGTGGCCAGTGTGGGAGTTTGAGGTAGCTCACGTGGTGCTCTGGTTTCTGGGAACAGGCAAGCCGCCAGTTGCTGAAATCTGGACAGGTTGGTCAGACCAGGGTAGGACTCCAAAAGAGCTTCTTGGAGGGTCCTGTAGAAACGTAGGAATCTGTGGTGGATGGATGGAGAATATCTGAGGAGAGGGGAGTCCACACAGTGAGGAAGAAGCAGGGAGTCTGGTTCCTGTTAGCGGTTTAAAGGATGCAGAGAGCTTTGTGATGTAATTAGTTAACCTGTACATGTCTGGATGTGACCTGCCTACCTTGTAATCTAACCTTAGTTACTGGGGGTACCATTTCACCAGCCCCATGTCTCTTTAAAATCGCTCTGGGAAAAATGAGTAAGAGTCCAGCTCTGAGTTCTCTTTGAAGGTAAGTATAAATGCAGGTGGGCCATGCCTGGTCTCTGTTGCCTGGGCTGCTTCTCTCCTCCGGTGGCGTGTACAAATCCAGTGCGCAGCTGTCCACACACTTGGAACAGTTTCCATGAGGCATATTTCTAACTCATCGCACAACTGGTTGCTCAGCTGATGAGTAGAGTAATTGGCTATTTCCACACCTGAGTCCCTGCCCCCCCACCACGGCTCAAGAATGTCTTGTTTTCCTTGAGCAGCCAGAGGGAACAGTCATTTGCTGGCTTTGGCGAGGCAGCTGGCCCCCATCATCAGTTATGCCTCGGAAGCTGAGGCTGCAGGTCCCCAGGGCCAGCATTGTGGCCTCCAATAGATAGGAAGTGTCTGCATTGTGATGTGCTAATATAAACAATGATCGGTGTCTGGGGTGGGGGAGGGGAAGAGGGAGGGAGAGCCCCAGAGAGAGGCAAAGGCTCTAACTTGGCATCAAGCCCCTAGAGCCACACTGAGATTCTGCCAAAGAGATGTACTGCCCAAGGAGGCAGGGGATCTTTGTTGGATTCAGGGACGTTGTTTGTTTTCAAAATAATGGGGCCAACCACCATTGTGTCAAGAGCCCCAGAGCATTGGTGTGGAATGTGCCTTTCTCTAAATTGGATTTCAGGTAATCTATTATGGAAGTATTCTTGAAGCTAGAGTATATCAGAGCCAGAAGGTCCCTTAGAGACCATCTGGTCCAAGCGCCTCCTTTGTGTTAGATAAACCATTCAGGGGAACAAGCATGTAGAATTATTTTCTCAATGGGATAAATTTGAGTGATTCCAGCCACTTAAATTTTGTGGCCAGTGGTAGATGTGATTACAAGTGAATGCGTGGGCATTCTAAGAACCATCCAGGGCTATAAAATCCAGCAAAGCTCGCAAGAACTCACAAGAACTCACAAGAACCCCTTCTCCTCGATCCAGGGTAGAATGAATGTGGCTGACCCAAGCATGAAGCCAGCTGGAAGGGATATAAAGTCAAAGTGAGACACATGCTGAACAAAGGGCAGCTAGGTTGAATGCTTCTAGAAAGAAACAGAAAGTGAGAAGGAAGGAAGATAAGGTCCTTTCTGAGTACGGGGCTGGACATTGAGACACAAGGCAGTGAAAAATGCCCAGTGCATCTGTCTGCTTGGCTTTGAAATATGGCATGTCTCTTGTAGCGATAGGGCCACCCCATAACTACACTTTGTTCTAGTGATTTCTCCAGTGGTTTAGTATCCTTTGAACCTATGCCAGATGTCCCCGGACCTGCTGAGTGGCAGGGGGCAGCTGGTCTGAGATTGTAGCTTGCCACGTAGAATTCACCCGGCAAGGAAACAAGGAAGAGAAGAGTGGGCACTCTGAGGTGGACAGCCTCGAATTAAATGCAGGCTTCTGAGTGACCTTGGGCAAGTCATTTAGTGTGTGAAAACCTTAATCTCCTCATCTGTAAAATGGATATATGACCTGCCCCGTAGGGTTGTCATGAAGAATAACCAGGTCGCTAGCATGGTGTCAGACACATCAATGATTAGTACGTGTTACAACAGTATTGGTATTGAAGGGAATGGTTTAGTGTTGACTGAAGTTAAGATGGACACAGAGAACTTGAAGAGAAGCCAAGGGGTTCAGCGAGCACCATTGTGGGAAGAAATTACTATGGAGAGAGGGACTTTAGGGCAGATTAGAGAAATGAAAGCTATTCAGATCCTCAGCTCTGCTGAGACCTGGATCAGAAAAAAGCTCCAACTATTGCATGAGGGGTTGGGGTTAGACTTACGGGAGAGATTTCCTGACAGTGGAGGGTATCAAATGTTACTAGACAGAGAGTTTTTCTTATCTTCTGGGATTGTTTCGTCAGCCATTCCTGGAGCCAGAGAGGTGAATGAGATGCCACAGATCCAAGCCCAGTTCTTAATTCTGAGAATGGAAAGCAGCAAATGTGGGATCCAGCTGCCCCTAAAAGCTGTTTTTGGAAAAGGTTCTCAGATACATCTGATGCATTGGACTCTCTTCCGCTAACCCACAGTGCTTAACAGAGGGGAGTAACTCAGGTTTTCAGCAATCTTGACCTTTCCTCTCATAGGAGTTGAGTAAGACATTTTTTCATTGGCCCTTTAAAGCCAAGGTGGCTGAGGCAGTGTCATATCTTGATGTCTCCCTGCTGCCCAGATTCCCCTGGAAACCCATGATCCCACCCATGAGCCAGGGAGAGCAGGAAAGGACAGACAGTCCTTGGGCTAGAGGTCAGAGGGGCCCACGTGGGAAGCTCTTCCTGAGTCCGCTGACGTGAGCTTTGGTGTCTGGGTTCTGAGTTTGATCTGATATTAGGTCCAACCCCAGCCCTGAAGATCAGGGAGAATAAGAGCAGCATCATGAGGCTGGACAGGCTGAATCCCCATCTCTAAGAGGGTGGGTGAGATCGTATGACCCTAGGAGACTATCATCCTCTACCATGCAGAGTCCTAGAGAGTAATCACCTTTGTCTTGGAGATTCTTCCTGGGTCTCCTACTCCAGGGAAAGAAATTAGCCACCTTCCCTTGGGGACAGTGGCCCCCAAAGCCACCAGCTGGATTGTTCTTCATCAATTTTCATGTAAATCCCTCCTGCTGCAGCTGACCACAGTTCTTCATAACCTCCCCTTTGGATTCAGCTTCTCATCCCTTAATGAAACCACATGTCACCCTGACTCCTCTTCAAGCTTTCCATGGCCTTAAGAATCCAGTTGAAATGCCTTTGGAACCTCTTAATTCCCAGCCCAGCTTCTCTCTCCAGCTTGGGCCTTAGAAACCAGGGAGGGATGAGATTTAGCCTAGGGGAAGAGGTTCACCAGAGCAGCTCAACAAGATACTATGTCTTTTTCCTTCACCTCTTTTACCCTTGGATTTGGGTTTTCTTTGGTTTGATGCTCCCAAAGCTGACTGTCAGAAGGAGGGACAGATGGGGTAGCCATCTTTAAAGAGACGAGATAGTATAACTATCAGAGTACACACTTTGGTGCCAAATGGTCCAGAATCCAAAACATAACTGGCTTGTGACCTTGCCAAGTCCATGCATTTCCTTGAGCCTCAGTTCCCTCTGCTGAAAATGGAGGTGGTACCCCCCAGGTTTGTTGTGAGGATTAAGCATGACTATGATATCTAGAGAGGGCTATTAGCAGAGGCTTGGCCCTTCCTGAATGCCCACCAAATGGTGGCCCTGATTATTACCTCTGACTTTTAGGATGTTCTTCCCTATGTTTTTGAACTTAGGCTTGTTTCCCAGTAGCTTCTCTTCCTTTGGGATAATTCTATGGTTGCTAGCCCACATCCTACAAGTGAAGTATGGCTGTAACCTTTTTCTAGTCCCAGCGACAGCATGTCAAGGCCCCCACAGCGAGACTCAGCTCTTTTCTCCTCCTTCCCATACTTGGTGCTTTGCTAGTCAAGTGTGCTCGAGGTGCTCCCTGCTATGGTGTGAATTAAATGTCCACGGGGTCGCAGGTTGGTTTCTGCAGATTTCGTCACTTTGTGGAAGGAGTATGCCAACTGAGCTGGGACCTCTTCCACGTAGTCCCAGCATTCCCAGCACTCATTCAGAGTCACCAGCCTAACACCAGGGCCTCCTGCCCTGAAATATCCTTCTCCTCATAGTTCCCTTGACCTTGTGTTATCTGGACTGTTCCGGTGATTCCATGATAACGGGTGGGAGGAAGCTGCTGCTTTGGTATCAGGCTTCCTTGGTACTGAGAGCTGGCTGCTACAAGGGTCATAGATGGTAACCGATTAACCACATAATGGATTAACCCGGTCAGTAGCCACTGTTGTATATGTGTGTGCTGGTGGGACACATGAGGACATCTACAGAAAGAGAAAGAACACATGGGGTACACTGTCGCCTTCTTTTTTGTTCCCTTCTCCCCTTGAATTCATTCATCCCACAACACTTAGGGAACGCTTGCTGTATGTGCCACGCGTTGTGCGGCCGCCTCACTAACTCCGCGTACGTCTCATCATTTCTTCCCCTGACAAAAGCATAAAGTAGACCCCAGCTCTATGAAACGCACTCCCCGATGGCTTATGGAGAGAAGACGAGTGCCTCTGAGACAGGAGCCCTGCTGATCCAGCCAGGCACCAGCCTGTCCAACAAGCTCTTTTAGGAGACACCAGTGTCACAGAGACAAGAGTTCCCCTGCCACCCTGTCTTCACTGCCAGGACCCGTTAATGGCCCCCAGCCAGGAAGATGCCTTTGCCCCACTCCAGGCATCTGACGGCTCCCAGCTCCTGGCAGCTCTGCCTGCCTTCCTCCTCTCGCTTCTCCAACTGAGCCTAAGACCCACTGCACCCCTGGGTAGACTCAGCTTCTAGCTTTCACTCTTCTTGTTTATAACTCTACACCTTTGGGCAGGAGTGTCTCCTCCAGCTTCCCTTTGCTTTGGGGTTCCTGGTTGGAAAACCCCTGCTCTTCTCCCTTCCGTCTTACCCATGTCCATAGAACTGTGCAAAGAGCTTCCCAGGAGAGGTGAGGTGCAGGTAAGGTGGGGTCCGCCGTGCTGGGGGTGTGCCCAGACTTGCATGACCCCGTCCACAGCCAAACAGCCACCCTGGCCGTGTCGACCTCTGTGAGCCACCTGGCCTTCAAACCCTGTGTGCATGGCACTGTTTGTGGACATGGCTGCTCCAGCCTAGTTGAATTGTAGATCACCTCCCCCATCCCGGCTGCCACTTTCCACTCCCCCTCCCCCAGTCTCTCACATCCAATTAACACCCTCCTCCCAGCCCCCTTCCCGAGTCATTAGTGAAGAAGCAGAATGCTCTTGGCCCCAGAGTGATTTCCTGTCATTTCTGCTCATTCATTCTCTCCATGTCTTTGCTAAACCATTAATAATGTTGCCTGCATTTCTGACTGTTCATCTGGGTCTCTGTGGCTTCATCCCAGCTCCTTGTCTCCAGGGTCCCAAAGAGCAGGTTGTCTGTCCTGTGGCCCCAGTACATGCCTTCTCATTCATCCACTGCTGCTGAGACGGCCTCCCGGGGGGCCACCACATTGGTCTCTGGGGTCCCAACACAAGATGCTCAGGGAGTAAACCGCTCACTGCTCAGACAACCCCCTCCGTCTTTCCCAGGAAGGTGGGGTTTACTGAACTGGGGAGGAAGCTGGGCTCCTCTTGGCAGATCCTTTCAGATCTTAGAGCTGCTCACACACATGTGCCAATGGGGCCGGGGAGCCCCGCGCTTCCTAACACACCTCTCTTAATGATGCCCTGGCCCTGGTGGGGGGGGGCGGTTTCAGCTGGGAGGGTCTGGGACTTGGTGCCTCTGAGGGTAAGGGGGTAAATAGGGGGCGTGATGACACTTCTTCCTGGCCTGACTGCTTGGGCCTAGCTGGGTCAGCTCTGGGCAGGAGGCTCATGAGAGCGTCTTCTATCCTATTTCAGCGCGAGGAGTTGCAGAAAGAACACCCAGCTTCATGTATCCCCAGGGCACGGCGAGCAGTCAGATGGTGCTGCGTGGCATGGATCTCTTGCTGGAGTGCATCGCCTCCGGGGTGTACGTACAGCTTGCACCCCCACTCTGGTCCCTCCCCGGGAGGATGGGGCTGGGAATTTGCGCAGGCTCTCTTCTTGCCACAGTGTGGGGAGGCAAAAAGAGGCACAGACAGCCCCTAGCAAGGCCTTTGCAAAGCATCATCATTCCCATCCCACTCTGGCTGTCTCTTTTATGGGTAACAGACCAGGAAGGGAGACAGGTAGGCATCCCGCACATGTGTTCACACCCCGTGTGACTTTACAACAGCCCCTCGGGGCTCTATGGCCAAGCATCCCCTGTGTACAGGAGAGGGCCTCTCTCAGAGGACGTGGGTCCTTCTGGTTGCACCTACACTTCAAGGACGCCCGGGTGTCCAGGGCTCTGTAGAAGAAGAGCAGGGCCGCAGTTGGTGCTAATCCCTGTTTCCTGCTCGGTCTCTGTCCCAGCCCAACACCAGACATCGCATGGTACAAGAAGGGTGGGGACCTCCCATCTGACAAGGCCAAGTTTGAGAACTTTAACAAGGCTCTCCGTATCACCAACGTCTCCGAGGAAGACTCTGGGGAGTATTTCTGCCTGGCCTCCAACAAGATGGGCAGCATCCGGCACACGATCTCGGTGAGAGTAAAGGGTACGTTGTGTGTATTTCTCATTATGATGATTTTGCCAGCCCTACACGCCACGACCACCTTTCCCTCTGTGGGTGGGGGAGGGGCAGGGGGAGTAGGGGAGAGCCGATAACACACGCGTTAGTGGCCAAGATGACCTGCCAGGGATAGTGTCACCCTCTGGATGTGAGTGTGTGTGTGAGTGTGTGTGTGAGTGTGTGTGTGCGCGCACGCACGCACCATGGGTATGAGGGGAAGGAGATCCACCCTGACCATCCCCCACCTCTCTGTGGTGCCTGGGGCTCCCTCTGCAGGTGAATGTACCCCCATGGGCCATTCGGATTTCACGCAGCACCTTTTCTTTCTTCCATTTTGCATTCCCGTTCACGGTGTGTCGTCTTAGCCCTGTGCTGTCTGTGTATTTGTGCATGGTTCTTTCTTAAAAATGGGGAGTTATCATGGCACAAATTATTTTTTTTTTAAATCACTTCCCTCCCTCTGCAGCGCAGATGGCCCCTGTGAGCTGTTGCAGGCAATAGAGCACGTGCCGTTATGAGTCCTGGCCGTGGGTGGTGGGGTACACCTGTCCCTTCTCAGCCTGGGGCTGACCAGATGATGGGGACAATGAGGTCTGATACCAAGAGTGCAAGAACTTTCGAAGAGCATGCTCCATTGACCTTATGACTTTGGTTTCGGCACTACACTCAAACCAGGGGTTCTTAACCTTTTTGGGGGTATCAAGATCTTTGAGAATCTGATCCATAGGAACTTCTCAGGAAAAAAAAAAAAATCCACATATACACATATTCACAATTGGAAGGGATAGCCAGCTCTGCTCTAACCAAACCCAGTGCCTAAGAATGACTATGAGGCCTTTTTCTAAATGGTCTGATGTCACAGCAATAGCAACGGAATACAGAGGGGCCAGCCCCGGGTGCTCTTTACCAATGCATCAGCTGTTGCCTTTGGGTGCCCATCGTGGACACCTGTGGGGCTCTAAAAGCATCCACTGCCCCAGCCTCCCCTGAGGATTCTGACTTAGTAGGCCTAAGACGGGCCGCAGTGCCCATGTTTGTTAAAAGCTCTTCAGAGGAGTCTAACGAGCAGCCCCAGTTTAGAACTCTTGTTCTGTGAACTCAAAATAGAGCGGGCAGCCCCCGTGGTGCCAGGCCAGCCAAAGGGAGGCTGGACGGAGTCATCCCGCGAGGATGAGTCCCGGGCAGCTGGTGAGGGCCTGGAGCTGGCACTCAGGGGCTCTTGTCTTCCTAGCGGGAGCCGGTCTGCTGTCTCCGCCCGCCCCGAGCCATCTAACTCGGCTGCCTGCACTCTGCTTGTCTTCCAGCTGCTCCCTACTGGCTGGACGAACCCAAGAACCTTATCCTGGCTCCTGGCGAGGACGGGAGACTGGTGTGTCGAGCCAATGGGAACCCCAAGCCCACTGTCCAGTGGATGGTAAATGGGGAACCTCTGCAATGTAAGTAACAAGCCATTGTCCCACCTGACTCTGCTGCGTCTCCTGTCAGAGGCTCCAGATCCCTATCCCTATGGGCCAGCCCCAGTTGTACCAGAATGAGGTTAAAGAATAGCCCCTTGGCCACTGCTTCTGGAACAGCCCAGCTCTTTGGACATCTCAAGAGGCAGGAAACCTGCCTCATTTGTGTGTGAGAACAGGAAATCTATGCTTATGTCCTCATATTTAGGGAGCATAAAACTCCCTTGGGTTTTTCTTGAATCTTGCTTTCTGCCCTAAACAACCATGCAGCCCAGTTCAAGGTCTGTGAAGAGCCGGCCTCTGAGTGGGGGTGGGGCGTGGAAGGTAGAACAGAGCTCAGTAACCCAGGCCCCACTCTCTGCTGAGGGCAAAATGAGAGCCAGGCTGGATAGAAGGAAGAACTTCCCTATGAGAGCAGAGATGCACTGATGCAGTTACTGGGTGTGCCCAGATGTGGGGAAATTGAGTCCTGCCTGCTGGCTGGAGTAGGTGACTCCAGGGCCCCTCTGGCCAGGGCTCTCAGTCAGGTTTTCCCATCATAGTCTCTCCAGTTGCATTTACTTTATAAAATGTCCTTGTGGGTGTCTGTGAGAATACCATACACCTACACGGTCTCCCTCCCAGTCCGTGTCCTTGCCCTGGGCACAAGCAGAGATACGGACGTTGCCTGCCCTCTGCTGTTCTCCCTGTCCTAACAGCACTTTGGCAACAAGGCCGACAAAGGCCCAGACTCCACAGCGCCACTGAATAAATGGTGCTTAGGACTTGCAGCTGAGCCTTGGCCCTGGAAAGATCACCTGTCACTTTAGGGAAGTGGCTGAGAAGAAAGTTGGCTCCATGAGAATTGCCGGGGAAGGAGGCATTGAAGTTGCTGGCGCGGACTTCTTCGTGCCTTTTTGCTGAGTGGGGACTTGGGGACGGGTGATAAGGATGCTGCCCTCATCTTCATTTACCTCCTGCTGATTCCCCAGTTCCGGGCTCAGACTTGCTATCTGTGGAGTGGCGCCTCGGGGACCAGACCCAAGGTGGTCCTCTGCCCACTGCTGCTATTGGTCTGAGCGATCCTGGATGTGTTCACAGACCATCCAAACCAAGTCACCTGGCTCAGTCCAGAAACCTTACAGAGGAAAGTCACCTTCCAGTGAAAGATGAAAAAAGTGGCGATTCTTTACATTTCCAGAAAACTTTATTTATACCGCTCGTCATTCTTTTAATAAAGCTCCTCGGAGTGGGAGAAGGATGGGAGTAATTCTCCCCCACTTGACAGATGTGGGAAATGAGGCCCAGGTTTATTGATTTGTCCCAGTCCCAGATTGACGTGTGAACAGGACTGAGACCCCACAGCCACTCCCCAGCCTCTGCTCTCTGCATCCCAAGCCATCCATGCTGGGAGAGCTGTGGGAGGAAATATCGTCTCTCAGTTTAGGACACATCTCTTGGGACAATCAGGTAGCTTTGGCAAATGTAAGGACTCATTCAGTTTCAACAGGCATTGGCTTATGGGTCTAACTCTGTGAATGTTTGAAGAATGCTCTGCTCCGAGGATGGGAAGGTGGTGGGTCTCATCCAGTTGTATATTCCTTTGTCCTTTTCAAAACCTTTAAGTATAGACACAGTGGATTAAAGTAATAACAACAATAGTAATCAGTGTGTGCCGGGCCTCTGCTGATGACTTTAGACATGCATTAAAATCTCAGGTTATCTTCATAAGCACCCTGCAAGGTGATATGTCATCCCCATTCTGCACACAAGGATGCTGGAGTTTAGAGGAGCTGAATGACCCTGGCAGGTGATGTGGTTGGAATGCAAACCCCTTTCTGTTTCCACAGCTTATGCTCTCAACCACACCTGCCTGGCTGTTACATAGGTCCAGCAGGGACTCACAGTCCCATTGGACAGACTGAGAAACAAACCCCAGTAGGTTTGAGGATGGGCCTGGAGCCACACAGCTGGGCAGCGGTAGAGCCAGAAGCCGGGTCTCCTGGGAGCCACCCGGAGCGGCTGCTTCCACAGCACTCCAGTTGTCTTAGGGAGCCCTGGCCAGAGCCCCAAGTGCCCTCCACCCCGCCCTGCCCATTTCTCACGAGGGGCGTCTTTCCCGTCTGTAGCGGCACCACCCAACCCAAACCGCGAGGTGGCTGGGGACACCATCATCTTCCGGGACACCCAGATCAGCAGCAGGGCTGTGTACCAGTGCAACACCTCCAACGAGCACGGCTACCTGCTGGCCAACGCCTTCGTCAGCGTGCTGGGTGAGCCTCCCTGGGGCTTGCTCCTGTCGTGGGGAGGTCAGCCAGGCTGGGAGGGGTAGGAGAGCGTGGGACGGAGAAAGCATGGAGCCTGAAGATGAATTTGCCGGGGAGGGGAGGGAACGTCAGATCCATGGAGCTGGGTGTGCAGACGGTTAGTTCCATGCTAGGGTCACGTCTCCAGATGAGGGGGAGGGGCCTGTCTCACCCCCTCCGCATATCCAGGCCAACTCTGCCTGTGTTCTCGGTGGCCCTAGGGTAGGAAGTGGTTCTGAGTACTAGGGTCACTCCTAGATCAGGGAGAGGGCGGGGGCCGCTCAGAGATGCCTTGGGGCTGTGGAGGGGCAGCTTCAGAACCTGCTAGGTAATCTGGGGAGACCTTTTGCAAAAGCTGGATTGCACGCAGGGTAGGTTGAAGGCAGACGGGTGAGCTTCCTCTTCCCTCCCCTAACCCTGGGAGGCTTCTTAAAGGAGGGAGGTTGATGGGGGAAGGGACGGGGCGCTTGGAAAGCTACCGTGCTGCCAGGGCACGTGGAAGACCTGGGTCGGGGGGGACTGGAGGAGGTAGGCCCCCCAGCCAAGGTCTGTTCTCCGGGAATTGCAGACGTGCCGCCCCGGATGCTGTCACCCCGGAACCAGCTCATTAGGGTGATCCTGTACAACCGGACACGGCTTGACTGCCCGTTCTTTGGGTCCCCCATCCCCACACTCCGATGGTAAGTTCCAGGAGACCAGCCCCACCCCCGGGAGTCCTCATTCCCCTCCGGCCCAAAATAGGTATTCAGCAAGACCAGGTAACCTTATAGGGTCGAAACTGGGAGAAAGTTGCCTGATCATCGAGGTCAGCCCCCTTATTGTGCAGAGACGAAAACCGAAGCCCAGAGAGGGCCAGAGACTTGCCAGGGCCACCCAGCAGCGGGAGGCAGACCCCTGCTCGAGGGGGCCGGTCCTGTCTCAGTGTGCTGTGTGTTCTGCTGCTCTGTTGTGAGGTTTAAGAACGGGCAGGGAAGTAACCTGGATGGTGGTAACTACCACGTCTATGAGAACGGCAGTCTGGAAATCAAGATGATCCGCAAAGAGGACCAAGGCATCTACACCTGTGTCGCCACCAACATCCTGGGCAAAGCTGAAAACCAGGTCCGCCTGGAGGTCAAAGGTAAAGGAGAGTTTGGTAGGGAGAGTGCGGGGTGGGACAGCCGAGGAAGCCATCTCCTCAAAGTGATTCCTGCGTGCCATTCCCTTTGAAAACGCACCGCTAATGGGGCCCTCCCCGTGGGCCTCCGTGTCCTCACAGGGCTTCCGGCTGGCCTGGGTGCTGGGAGCCCGGTCCACGTGGGATTGGAAAGGGAAGTCTGAGACCCCACCCACACCCCACTACCAGCCCAGGAAGGGCATCATAGATTCCCAAGCCAGAGAGAAAGGACTTGGGGATTGTTTCCTCCTTAGAATCACCCACACCCGCCCCGCCACCATTCATATAACTGAGTGTTCTTTCTGCCACCTTCCGTGGTCCGTCTAACGTGCATCACGCCGTGTGGCCACGTGGGGTGGTGGGCAGAGGCCATGCCAATGATGAGCTCCCTCGGCTTCTCCACAGACCCCACCAGGATCTACCGGATGCCTGAGGACCAGGTGGTCAAGCGGGGCACCACGGTGCAGCTGGAGTGTCGGGTGAAGCACGACCCCTCCCTGAAGCTCGCAGTCTCCTGGCTGAAGGACGACGAGCCTCTCTACATTGGAAACAGGTTTCTGCTCCTTCCTTCTCTCTTCCAGGCGCGAGTCTGGGCCCGTTTGCTTCCCGCTTGTCCTCGGTGACACACTGAGGGAACCCGGGGACAGGGAGCCTGCATCACGCGTGTCCCCCAGGAGCTGCTGCGGAGGTGGCGGCAGCACCAGCAGCTCCCCCACCCTGCGTGCTCCCTGCCTCTCTCCTTCTCTCCTCGCTCCCTCTCCTCTTTTTCCCACTCCTTTCTCTCTTCCCTCACTTCTCTCCCCCTCTCCCCTCACCCCTTTCCTCCCTGAGCACTCGTCCTCCCTCCCTCTTCCGGCTGCCGGGTCCCCTTGGCGCTCCGGCCTCAGCCCCGCTTGCAGTGCCCCTGTTCTCCAGCAGAGGGCAGGGCCGACCCGAGCTGCCGGCCACCAGGGTGTCAGTGGGACATCTCAGCCGAGAGGCACCTGGGACGCTTCTACTAGACCGCACCGGCCTCCCTTGTCCAGATTTAAGTGATGTGGGGCGAGGGGAGGCACCTGTAGTGTCTAAAAGTTCCGACAGGTGTCTCTAATGTGCAGTCAGTGATGGGGAGGGCTGGTCCGAGCCTTTCCCTCCACAGGGCTCTTTGTCGTAGCCCCTCACGTCTCAGGGGCTGGTGGTGCAGGGCCCTGAGGGCGGCACAGGGAGCAGCTGTTTGCACGCTCATCTGGCTTTTCCAGGGGTGCACCCTGCAGGCAGACACAGGCATCCGTGCACTCAGTGGGTGCCCACAGCTTTCGCAGCCCACCCTGCTCTATGGTGCCCACCCCCCTCCACAAGAGACAGTTCAAAGGAGCCCAGGACACCTGGCCTGAGCCTGGGTGGCACAGACTGGCCTGGGCTAAAGGGGAAGCTGGAAGTAGGGGAAGAGGAGGGACACCAGCCTGCCTTTCGGGCGGTGGACCGCACTGTGCCCTGATTTGGGAGGGGAGCGCAGCATAAGAAAGGCACAGAGGATAGACACTAGGGAGTTTGAGGACAGCGAACAGAGTCGGAGCCGCTTCTGCTTCACCCACTTGCCTTTTCCCCTCCATCAAGCACCACAGTGCTCCAGGTAACAGTGAAGACCGTGCCTCTCTCGAACCACTGGGAGGGAGCCTCGTGGCCCCTGTCAGGGGCTGTGGCTGCCCTCTCACTCGCCATCCCCACTCCAGGGAGAAAGCAGGCAGTGCCCAGAGCACCCCCCCCGCCCCCCCCACTGTCGGCCCGCTCGCCTTCCTCCCAGCCCTTCCCTGGTGCCCTTGCAGGATGAAGAAGGAAGACGACTCCCTGACCATCTTCGGTGTGGCCGAGCGGGACCAGGGCAGTTACACCTGCGTTGCCAGCACTGAGCTGGACCAGGACCTGGCCAAGGCCTCCCTTACTGTGTTAGGTAACTGCCGCTGCTCACACGTGCTCTGAACTCCCCCCACCCCACCCCTTCCCAAGGCCAGAGGAGCCGTGGGCCCTGGGCAGGTCCCGGGCCATCGCCTGCGGCCAGTGAGCTGGGCAGCCATGGTGATCTCCCCGCTTCTATCTAAGGGTTAGGAAGCCGCTCCTTTCCCAGCAAGGTGGGCCAGGCACCTCACCTCTGAGTGGAACCATTAACTCGCCCAAATCCTCAACGGATGGGTGAACGAGAGAGGGAAGGTGGACGGGGGTTCTTCTTGTGATCGTTTTGACCTCTGTACCAGTTAAAAGAACCCATTGTTGAAGCAAGACTGCATTTTGAGTTTGTCCCGCCAGCACCCTCGGCTAGCCTCCCTCCCCCTGCCACCCTGCTCCTGTTTCCTGATGGGATTTTATAGGGCGCTCTGCACTTAGCAAACTAATTCCATCATGTCCTGCCCGTGTCTAAGCCAGACTGTAAATACTGAGCCATCCCAACGCCAGGGGAAGATAGTCTTGCCCATCCAGGGACGCACATCCCCTGCTGTGCCCTCATCACCTCTGTCCTCTCTCTGGGCATCCTACTGCCATTACCGTTGGTACACTCCGTCTCTCTGGTGGCGGCAGTGCATGGTCGCTGGGGATGGTGGTCCCAGGCACACAGTGGCATTGGGATGGGAAGGAGACAAGTCCCCCCCTCCACCCCGCCAGCCGTGGAGGAAGCACGGGGGGGGGGTCTCCATGGAAGCAAAGGTGAAGCTGTGCCCAGTACACCTCTGCTCAGGGCAGCTGTTCAACCCTCGGCCACCTACTCCCATCCTTTTAGAACACCTGTAACCCTGGATAACTTGCTAACCCGGATAACCCGTCTTACCTTTGCAGCTGATCAGGCCACTCCAACTAACCGTTTGGCTGCCCTGCCCAAAGGTAATTCATACTAATCACAGGACCCCTGCCAAAGCCCTCTCTAGGTGGCTGGGAGGGTGGGGTCCGAGGAGGAAGGTGCTGCAGGACAGGATGTACCGTGTGGAGGCCACTCGCTGCCAAATCCGATTCCTTTCAAGGGTCACACCCCTCACCTCGCAGCCCTGCCACAGTCCCACTCGGGCTTCCTGCGCCTTTCATAGGCTGGGCTCGGAAGTCCTCGGCTGCCGATCCATCCCATCCCTTACTTCTGGCCACACTCACCACTTCCTTGTGGGGGCCTGTTCTCTCTCCCCAGCTTTGGCCTCAGAAATATGGAGGGTCCAGTCGGGAAAGCCCACTCACTTCAGATTACCTGCAGGCCCATCTTGTTTGCATGCTCCCCGAGTCTGCTGCTGCATACCCCTTCACAGTCTGCCTTCACACGCATGCACACATACACAAGTGTGGGCTCACGTGACCCACCTTCCAGATCCTCCCAGTAACCAGCCAGAGTACCGAAATACCTGGTTCAAGCAGCCGGGATGGGGAGACATCCCGTGTACCCCACTAGGCAGAGGTGAGGTGGCCTTATCCCCAGGCCAGGATGGCCCTTACACCCACTGAGGAAGTCCAGTGAGACTGGAGCCCCCGAAGGTGCTGCCCCAGCCCTGTTTGGACACTTGCTGGGGCTCCTCTATCCTGCTGTCCATCGCTGAAACTCTAAGTCCCTATGTCCTCCTTGGCCTGGTCCTCTGCCTCTGTCCCTCCCATGCTCCTAACCGGTCTGCCTTGCTCAGCTCCAAGCACACCCCTGGGCTCCTGCCCCCTCAGAGCCTTGGCATATAGAGTAGAAGGTAATCATCCCGAGAAGATGAGACCAAATCCCACGCTTCCTCACCAGCTTCCCTATAGGTGGCAAGCATGGGTCTCATGAAAAGGGTAGCATTTTCCAAATGCTCACCCCCTAAGAACAGCCACAGAAATGGGATGGGTTGGTCCTGGTTCTCTCTGTGCCCTACCTACATCCTTTCATGCTTTTTTGGGGTGGTGGAATTAGAAGTCTCCTCTTTGTTCTTCCTAGGCCCCCTGAGGGAATGGGTTGGTCCCTGTGCTGACCCTTCTAGGCAGGCCAGGGCTGGTTCCTGCGGGTGCCGACCTCAGCCCGTCAGGGACCTGTCATAGGGCAGTGTCCAAGGCTGGGGCCCGCACAGGGACAGGCTGGCTCTAACTGGGGAGTCCCGCGTGGTGTCTTCTTCCTCTGCTCCCAGGACGGCCAGACCGACCCCGGGACCTGGAGCTCACGGACCTGGCCGAGAGGAGTGTGAGGCTGACCTGGATCCCAGGGGATGATAACAACAGCCCCATCACAGGTCAGCCAGGGGCCCTGCACTCCAGTCCAGAAAAGAGGGATGGATGGCAGCCTGGTTTGTGGTAGCAGCCAGAGGCCTTGCCCCGGTTTCTGCTCCGGCTTCCACCTTACCTGATGCGTGCCCCAGGCTATTCACGGAGCACATGCAGGCCTTGGTTCCCCTCTCCGTATCCGGGGAGGAATTCTCCCTGTGCCTTTGTCCACCCAAGGGAAAGTGTAAAGACTAGCAGCAACCACACGGGAGTACGTCGCAGAACTCCGCTACCTCAGCTCCCAAACAGCGCTGTCTTCCTTGCCCACTCAGACTACGTCGTCCAGTTTGAAGAGGACCAGTTCCAGCCCGGGGTCTGGCATGACCATTCCAAGTTCCCGGGCAGTGTCAACTCTGCCGTCCTCCGGCTGTCCCCATATGTCAACTACCAGTTCCGGGTCATTGCCATCAACGAGGTGGGCAGCAGCCACCCCAGCCTCCCCTCTGAGCGCTACCGGACCAGCGGGGCGCGTGAGTACCCGAGGGCTGACGGCCAGCGTGCTGAACCCAGGTGCCCCGAGGCCCCACTGAGTTCCCCCAGTTCCTGGCCACGCGAGCGTGGGCGGGTCACTTAACCGCTCCAAGGCTGGGCTTCCTCCGCTGTGAGACAGGGAAGGATAGCAACACCGCCTCCATCACGGAGCCGTCGGGAGGCTTGGGTGTGAAAATGCTGTTTGGGTACCTCCCGTGGTGCTTGGCGTATTGTAAGCACCCAGCCAACGCTAACTGTGGTTATTATTACTAATAGCCTTAATAATTCTTGGTCATCTGCTCTAAAGGGAAGTGCTATGGCAAAGATTTGTAGTAGAAATATATAATCTGCTGTTATGGCAGATTTCTTTTCCTATCACGCTTGGGTAATGTTTAGATTTCCGAAAATATACCAGCCCATTGAGAGTGGAGCTGCTCCCCCAAAATGTTGAATGCTGGGGATAAACCGGTCTGGTGTTAAACTTATTTAGTGGATAATCCATGAAGGGGATAATTAATCCACATTGAGTTGGCTGTCGGGACCACCCAAAGTATGGATGCCTTATGATAAATGCTGTCTAGTGAGGGATTAAAATTCAAAAGAAATTAGCCCTGCTTGGTGGAGGGGGGAGAGGTTCGGTCTTAGCTAGGAAGGCACATCCTCCTCATGAGAAAACCACAGAATGAGTTCGGTTGCCTATGGGATAGTGTGTAGAGAAATGCTGAGGAAAGACAGCCACAGAAGGGGCTGGTCAGCTAGAAGGGAGAGAAGTTGCTCACTGTGCCCATAACACACATCGGGCTTGAACTTTGCATCCCCTTGGGTTCCAGCCCCCGAGTCCAATCCCGCCGACGTGAAGGGAGAAGGCACCAGAAAGAACAACATGGAGATTACGTGGACGGTAAGGGTCCCTCCCAGCCCACCTTTCGATGGGCCTGCTCTCTTGGCCTTGAGCGCCTGGGAGTCCTTTTGCTCTTTACACCCCTGAGGCCCCAAGGCCACTCTCTGCACTGGACATCCAGGGACAAAACAGGAGCATTGTCTAAGAGCAAGATTTCAGACAGGAGATGGGAGCAGAGGTGACCGAGGAACATAGACAGCTAGTCTGGCAAAATCAGAGAGTACCAGCAAACGAAAATGGACTTCTCTAGGTGAAGGAGGGGTCTAAAAAAGATTTAGCCTAAACATCGGTGCCTAGTGTTGGTGTGTTCTGGGGTCCTCCCACTGGAGATGGTTGGGGGTGGAGAGGAGACCAGCACTCGAGCTGCTTTGAGTGCAGGCTTTCTTTTAGTCCAAGAATGAACGAGAGGATGTAAAAGCTTCTCTCCGGGCCAGGACCGAAAAAAATTCCATCTTCATCTTGGCTCACTGACTATGTTTTCCAAACCAGAATTGGGATATGTGGTCTCAAAATGACTTTTTTTCTAAACCAATTCCAAGTCTGAGAGATGCACATTCAGCCATGGAAATATTAACATTTCTGTGCTGTCACCATGAGTAACAGAAGCAGTGAGCTACAACGTGTGGGATCATGGCTGTCCCCATCTTTCTGAGGGCCCAATCTCACAGCAGCCTGGGCAGCTGGGCTGAGCCCAGATCCAAGACACTGGGGCTCATCTTCAGGACCTTGCAAGGACCCGCTCCTAGTCTACAGCTCTGTAGAGGACAGCTTCCTGGACTAGGCCCTTAGGAAATGAAGAACAGAGTTGCACCCACCCTTAGCTGCTGGGCAGGACAGGACAGTCACGCATGGATTCGGTAGAACCTAAGCCAGTTCTGGAATTTTGAGTTCATTAGCAGTAAGCATGCTGTGGCTAAACCAAAACTCATCCCTCTCCAATGTTAAAGAATATTCTATGATTTTCTTGTTTTGTTCTGCTTACCGATCAGTCACAGGAGAGTCCTGTTGAAAATAAATCTTTGGCTCCCTGTGCACTTACAAATGTGGGTGGCTCTGGGAGTCAGAGTGACTAGGTCTCAGGTGAAGCCTTTGTCACAGAAAATCTACAGGCTGCTGAATTCATAAGACTCTGGGCTTCGGGGGACTCAGTGTGAGGGTGGCATGCTCTCCCAATGCCGCAAGGGGGCCAGTGCTGGGCAGATCGGGGCAGGGTGCCTGGCACAGAAGAAGAGTGCAGGCTGTGGGTGGATCTGGGCTCCACCCCTGCCCTCAATCTCTCCCTGCTCAGCCCATGAACGCCACCTCCGCCTTTGGCCCCAACCTGCGATACATCGTCAAGTGGCGACGGAGAGAAACTCGAGAGACGTGGAACAACGTCACAGTATGGGGCTCCCGCTACGTGGTGGGGCAGACCCCCGTCTACGTGCCCTATGAGATCCGAGTCCAGGCCGAAAATGACTTTGGGAAGGGCCCTGAGCCAGACACTGTCATCGGTTACTCCGGGGAAGATTGTGAGTACCCTCCCCCATCCCCGAGCAAGGATCCTCACAGCCAGGCGGCACAAAGCCAGCCTCACAGACCAGGAACCTCAGGGTGGGTCATGGGACTGCCAAGAACATCCCGGGAGGACAGCCGGTCCCCAGGAAAGAGAAATCCCCTATGGTGACCTCGGGCAAACAGGCCCCTGATAATGTCAGGAGCCAAACTGTCATCACCCGAACACTAGTTAGAATTACTGAACAATCATCGCCTGGTCCAATATTCCCATTTTACGGGTGTGAAAAGTGAGACCCTGCAAAGGAACACCCTTGCCAATATTACCCAATAGCAAATGTCAGGCTTGAAAACAGAGGCCAGGCCTTCTAATCTACCTTAATGCCAAGACTTGCTAGTGCCAAGACTTCAGGACTCTCCCTCCCAAAGAGCCATAATTAGACTCCTCCCCAGGAAGCAGGGCCACAGGCCAGACTCCTCCTTGGCCCCCCAGGGGAGACCTGGAGAAATAGAGAAGAGCCCCAGACTGGAATGATCCAGACCAGCTACCTGCTGGCATCCCAGTGTTGCTCTTAACACTTGGAACTGAGCATGCAAAGAGAAGTTCTTTGGAGGCTAGCCTTGGTAAATCAACAAGATTCTGGGCACGTATGTGGAAGTATCTGCCTGGCTTTTAAGATGGTGGCAGCCTCCCTCTTCCCAGCACATCAATCAGTAGGCTACTGAGCAAAGCAGGAGGGTCAGTGGAGCTCCTCCCTGTCAGGGTGACCCAAGAAAAGATCATTTAGGCGGATGGGGTGATCAGAAGGCAGGGAGGAGGAGAGTCTTAGGGAGTTGCAAAGGCCAATGCTGGGGTCAAGAGTAGGGCCCGTGTTGTGCATGACAGACAGGAAGAAGTGAGGGGTGGGCCCCATGCACCACTTTCCTGGAGGTGATTATGGATTGGACCTACTCGGGAATAAGTGGATAGTATCAGCAGACTCTCTGTCCATCCTGCTCCTTGTCTTGTGATGGCAAACACTTCCAGACAGGAGACTGGCAGGAACTACCGGCTGGTGAGTATGGAATGAGCAGTGTCTAGTCGTGGACTCCGTGGACCCGCCCACAGTTTCCGTGGCACCTGCCGTCCCCCCCTGGGCCTGTGCTCTGCTGGATGCGAGGGGTGGGGAAGAATTCTTCTGCAGCAGAGTGGAGAAAATGGAGGCGAGAATTCATTCTGGGGGAGGGAGTGGGTCTCCCTCTTCAGGGAGTCAAGGATCAGAATCCCCTCCTGAACAAGGTTAGAGCATCTTCAGCCTGTGGCTGATGTTTCCGGCAGGGTCCTGGTGGGAAACGAGTGTCACTCAAAGGGGACTATCTCTAATGTGAGGACAGGGTTCAAGGGAAAACAGCAAGGTATCAGAAATCACCCAGAGGGCTAACAACAGCAGGACCCCAGCATAACATTCTGAGCCTTGAAGGGGCATCAGACAGGGGAGTCCCCACAACCAAGGGGTAGAACCTTGGGTAGCAAAGTACAATGCTGTCGACCTGCAGCCCCACAGAGAGGCGGCCAGGGACTAGGTACCCACCCTCCTTCTCCTCCTGTTGACCTTACCTATTGAGCAAACCCATCTGTTGACCTGTGAACAGGGGGCCAGCCCACACAGTCCAGAGAGGGCAGCCTGCTGGGACACAGAGCAGGTGGAGAAGGGTAGCACATGGAATGGAGGGGCAAACAGAGGCTACCCAGCTGGGAGGATAGCAAATAATTGCCCTCTAAACATGTAGGCAGATCCCTTCCACCCAGCTGGGAGGATAGCAAATAACTGCCCTCTAAACATGTAGGCAGATCCCTTCCACCCAGCTGGGAGGATAGCAAATAATTGCCCTCTAAACATGTAGGCAGATCCCTTCCACCCAGATGGCCTCCTTTTTGTCCTGGCCTTCCCCCATCCCCCCAAGGGCAATCTCCTGGAACAGTCCTAGCCCCTGCCCTCATGGAGTACCCCGTGTCCAGAGTGGGGTAGAGGCACCAGCCAGCAGAGAACAAGTCTGAAGAGACCCTAGAGTCCAGGGGCCAGCCCTGCTTGCTTAACTAGCTCTCTGTCCCAACACATTGCAGATCCCAGGGCTGCACCCACTGACGTTAAAATCCGAGTCCTGAACAGCACAGCCATCAGCCTTCAGTGGAACCGCGTCTACCCCGACACGGTGCAGGGCCAACTCAGAGAGTACCGAGTGAGGAAACCAGCTCTCAGCCTCGCCTAACCACCCAGCTTGCTAACCAGGGCAAGGGGGTAGCAGATGCGGGCCATAGGCTACTTGGAAGGGGTCCTAGGAATAGTTGTTGGATCCAGAGTAGATTCAAGAAGATGATGTCTAGTACTAGCTGTCCAAAAATACACCCAGAAAAAAAATTATTTGTATATATGCAGGTGTGTTCTGCAACAGATATGCTGAGAGATTCTACTCAGCAGTAGAATCACACGGAGGGCGGTGGGTTGATGCTCCATATGGCACGTTATGCTCATAATTCATGTGTGAGTAGACACACAGGGATCTTAGGAGCAGTGTTGAGGAACCACTGAGCTACACCCCTCCCCTCTCTTAATGGCCCCCACTGGACTGCTTGCCTCACCCAGTCTGGTTTCATGAAACCTTCACTAACAGGCAGAGCCACCAAAAGGTGTAAACATCTTCCCTGTTGTCACAGCCAACTCCGGATTACCTGGCGTATGGATTATCAAGGCCCTTGGCTTCTCCTGGTCTCCCTGCCTGTGGGCAGTTTCTGCTCACGTATCTCTCCTCTCGGCAAGGGGGAGCTGAGGCGGGCAAGGGGGAGAGAAAACCAGGCCACGCTAGGCTCTCCCTTACACGTAGCTTCATTTAAAACTTGTCTGGGAGGTGACGGCTGCTGTAAGCATGGGATACTGCAGGTTCTGTGACTTAGAGGTCATTGAGAGTTGGCTGATGGACAATTGTGGGCAGAATGGAAGGGATCGGTCTCTTTGGGGGCATGAATTCGGTAGGTAGGAGAGGGAAGGCAAGAAGATGTATACACTTGAATGAGCTCTTCCCCAGCACTTGCACCCTTAACCTACTTGCCCGGAGATTTTTCTGGCTAAAGCTCCCACTGGGTCTGCTTCTTAAGGGGTCCCCTTCTTAAGTATTGACTTCCGTCTTCCTTTGCCTTTGGAGGCCCAGGTGATGCTGGTGTGGCAGCCTGACCTGGGCCTTCTTACATACTGCTAACCATTCCTTGTGTCGCAAACTCTCTCAACTCTACCCCTAACACCACCACCTTCTGAAGGCCATCCCATCCAAGCTCTTGCCACCAGGCAGCCTGGTGTCCACTGACCTGGACATGTGTCTGGCCCATTCTAAAGGTCTTCAAACAATTTTAAAAGAAATCATTTGACTTCAAAGGATTAAATCAACTCCCCTATTCAGACTTCTGAGGGTAACCTGTTCCTTTTCAACTCCTGCCTACTGCCGATCTAAACCATACTAATCCAACTCAAGGCGATGTGGCCTTTGAGCCCAGAAGAGAGCTTTCCATGCCTGGACCCTTGTTCCCACCTTGGAAATAAGTGTCCACTCCATCAGTAACTTTGGCCAACTTGCCTATTTCCCAGAGAGCTCATGTGGCTCAGAAAATGATCAAACCCCAAGCCCCTGTTTCCTGTTTGACGTCAGTTGGTCCTCGCTAGGGGCTAATGAACGGGGCCTCTCGGGCTGCTCCCCCAGCCCTAGGCGGGGCTGCTGAGGGCATTCGGGACTTGGAGGCTGTGGCAAGCAAAGCGAAGACCAGTCACCACCACCGGCACTAACAACTAACCCAGCCCCGCCTGCCCGTCCCCTCACCGGCCCGCCTCTGTCCCGAAGGCTTACTACTGGAGGGAGAGCAGCTTGCTGAAGAACCTGTGGGTGTCTCAGAAGAGGCAGCAAGCCAGCTTCCCTGGTGACCGCCCCCGGGGCGTGGTGTCCCGCCTCTTCCCCTACAGTAACTACAAGCTGGAGATGGTTGTGGTCAATGGGAGAGGCGATGGGCCTCGCGGTGAAACCAAGGAGTTCACCACCCCGGAAGGAGGTAGGTCTGACCTGCAGCTCTTCGGGGTGGGGCAGGACAAGGGCAGCACAGCCAGGTGGGTCCAGAGCAGCCCCAGCGGGCCTGGGCCCGACAGCACAAGGTGACCTCTGCGTGACCCCAAGGCGCTGAAGTCCTGCGAGCCGAGCAGCTCCTGCCATTCCCAGAGTGCTCCATCACCGGGGTGGCCTGCCCTGACTGGACGTTGTGTCTCAAGAGAAGACCTGGGCCACCTGCTGACAAAATTCCAGATGGACTAGCAGACTGACATCCTCTCCCCCCACCCCCTGCCAAGGGCACTGCGGGAGCCCGGGCCACCCCCACCTCTGGAGGCCGAAGCACGGTCACCCTGACCACCAGAAGCACCTGGCTTGTTCCCCAGCACCCAGGACCTTCATTCAGAATTCTCTCTGCACTGTGATCCAGAAGCTTCTGTCGGGACAGCTGGCCCGTGTGCGCGGTGGCCCTGCAGGGGGCGCTCTGCCTGCTGCTTGTTCCAGGTCCCCCTGGGCCTGGGAGGCAGACACTTGTGAAGTTCACATCCTCCTTTATCAGCTCATCCTCCTTTATCAGCTCTGCGTTTGCGTTTGCTTTGCCCTCTTCTGTTTTTCCTCCCTCCCTTCTTAACCTCTTTTCCGCCCCCCCTTTTTCTTCTCTTCCTCCTTCTTTGTTCTTCCCTCTTGTTTTCTTTATTCCTATCTGTCCCGCCCCCTCATTTTGCTTTTCACCTCCAGCCTCTCCCCATCACCCCCGCTCCTGGTGCCCTGTCCATGAGCCCCATCTTGGGCTTCTTTCTCCTCACCCCTGAACCCCGCATTCTCAGCTCGGAAGCCTGGGCCTGCTGCTGGGCCCAGGCTGAGACTCCTCGCCTGAGGACTGGGAACCACATCCTCTGTGCCCACAGCTCTGTTTGGTTCCCTGCTGGCTCGAAGGCATCTTTGCAGGGGCAGAGCCTACCGTGTGCTGAATCCACGGTAGTTGCTAAAGGAAAACCTGACTGACTTCTTCCCCATTTAAACGGAGTCTGAGCCATGCTTGTCCTAAACAGGGTGGGGGAAACAGCATCCTGGATGGGGCAAAGGGCTCCGGCCCTCCTGTGGTTCTCCTGGGTTCTGGCTTAGCAGCTGTCCAGCATGGGGCTTGCCCCGAGGTCAGTGCCTTCATACTTGTGCTTTGTTTTTTTGTGTTTCCTCATCCTGCCTCTGCCCTCCCCTTCTTTTCCCCTGCCCTCTCCTCCTTCCCCAAGTACCCAGTGCCCCCAGGCGTTTCCGAGTCCGGCAGCCCAACCTGGAGACAATCAACCTGGAATGGGATCATCCAGAACACCCCAATGGGATCCTGATTGGATATACTCTCAAATACGTGGCCTGTACGTTCTTCCCTTCTTTCTCTTAATCCGGGATTCAGAAACCCCATTCTCACCATTTCACTAAGGAATCGAGGTAGAAAGCCTATGGGTGCAGAATGATGGAGGTGCCACAGAGAAAGTTCCCCAGAGGATTAGGGGAGGCAGGTGAGACCCAGCCCCCCTGCTCACCTGATATAGCTCCTTCTGCAGGGAGCTTCTAGTTGGTTCATGAGACAGGGAACTTCTGATCTAATGAGGGATTCAACCCCGGCCCCTCGAGGATCTTAGAGTCTCCAACACGTACAAGTGAGTCTAGGAAAGACAGTTCTGCACCTCATCCAATGGGGTAGACTACATGCAAGGGAATCCACACAACACTCAGGGACGCTAAATAAGGTGTCATTTATGGTAAGGCGGCTGTATCTAGAATGACATGGTCAGGAGCCTGGGTAGGGAAGACCTCACCGAAAGAGCTTAGTGTCACCCTGCGACATGAATGTCATTACATTTGAAAAGCCTCTAAAGTAGGCGATGTTGTACCTCGTTGGGAAGCTCAAAGGGCCAGGTGTTGTGTTTTTGACGATTCTAATAGCCAACTGTGTCCTTATATGCTGTTCTGAATGATCTCTGGACCTGACTGTCCCCCTTTGAGGTATACTGAACAGGCCTTTTATGAAGGAGGCATTAATGATCAAAAGCTCTAGTGGTTTTGCCCTAGTTCTGTTTGAAAGGAAGAAAGGACCTCAAAACTTTTGTCCTTGTTGGAAAGGCCTGGGGATTATAAACTAAATCTTTCAGAATCAGCCACATAACTTTGCAGTGAGCTGGAGATAATGAGATCAGTGAAAAAACCTTAACACTGGTGTGTCATTGAAGAGCTGGAAAGTTCTTGCCCAGGTCTTTGCCCTTGAACCCCAGTCTCCAATCCCCCGGGTCACTAAGGTCCTGGGGCAGGCTCCACTGGAAGGCTTTCTCCTTCCAGCTGCAGATTATATAACCCACCATGGTCAGTGTTGCTGAAGTTCAATTTCACTTACCTATCTCTCCCCAGTTAATGGAACCAAATTAGGAAAGCAGATAGTGGAAAACTTCTCTCCCAATCAGACCAAGTTCACGGTGCAAAGAGCAGACCCCGTGTCGCGCTACCGCTTTACCCTCAGTGCCAGGACGCAGGTGGGCTCTGGGGAAGCAGTCACAGAGGAGTCACCGGCACCCCCGAACGAAGGTAGGTGCATCACAGCGCCTTGGGGGTGGAAGGTCCCAGCTAATTCCAATGCCTAGAGAAACACCCTGACCTGGCCTTCTGGCCGGACGGCCTTCTGGGATGGAGAGAAAATAAGGCTGCAGGTCCTCCAGCCCCCCAGTAGGATACAAGAGAACCCATCTCCTATGCTGAGAGGTAGGTGCTGACGATGTATCCGGAAAACTCAGATCTTCTTAGACGATTGCAGTCAGACCTGATCGCCACTTTGCCTTGACTTGCCCAGCTACCTAACATCTATCATCTGTCCTCCTGGGGCGCGTGGTGGGGATAGGAAAGAGAGCCTAAGTCCATAGTAGAGATGACATGAGGGAAGGCATGTGCGAGGTAAACGTGCTAATGAACTTCAGAGAATTGCAGCAGCGTTCGCCCATCGAGAGGGGCAGCAGGGTTACTAAGGGTGCCTGAGGAGGGCTCTGGGATCCCCCTTCTCCCGAGGACACATGGAGCCAAGGAGGGAGGGAAGCAGCCTTGATTGAGGCTACCTGCCAGGATCATGTGCAGAGCCGGAGGTGTCGTCCCTGATTGCAGCCTGAGCTGGTGGGGTGTCAGGCCGTGGGGAGGGGGGTGTTGGGAAACAGCCACTGACCAAGCCAGCTTCCCCAAGAGCAAATGCGCTCAGCTCTTGGCTCCTGGCATCTTCCCAGCCACAGAGCGTCCCCACCGGAGTGCACCTGCCTGAGAAGTCCACTAGGGGGGACTCCAGGCCCACTCGTACCCGTGCTGGCACCCAGAAGCTCCAGGATATCAGGTTTAGAAGTCTAGATATTGGCAGGCCCCCTACCGAAGGAGGGGGCCCCCTGCCTCTTCGGAGGAGCAGTGGTGTATTCAACAGCCATTTCCTGAGCACCTGCAACATGAGGTGCTGGACGCTGCGCCCAAAACGAGGGATAAGGTCTAGAAGGGGAGACCTCCACAAGAGTATCTCCTTGCTGTTCAACATGAGCAATGTTAGGTTTAGCTGAGGCAGGTGCAGTGGCTGGGCAGAGGCTGGGCAGAGGAGGGGTCCGTTCTGCAAGGGAAGAGGCAGTGTGAACTGGGATTCTAGAAGCAGATAACAGGTTACTCAGTGCGGTGCTTGTCCCAGAAGGCTGAGGTCCGATGGCCAGACCCTGGCCCAGATTGGACCTCCCGAGCACCTCCTCCCCACCCCAGGAGAGCTTCAGGGCTTCCTTCACTGGGGCTGCCAGGCCTGCTGCCGGGGCTCCCAGCTCAGCTTCGGAGCTGCACTGCATCCCCTCCCCAGCCCTGCCTCCCCCAGCCCCCGAGGGCCGGCAGGCCAGTGCTGAGGCAGGCGGGAGTGGGGACAGGCAAAAACTAGAGAAAGGCTAACGGTCCTTCCTTCTCTGGTCTTGTAAACCAGACGTGAGCCACACAATAAGCTCCCCTCCTTGTGTGCTCATCAACCCCCCTGGGCATTCGGGCAGTTTATTAGGGCTGGGGAACTTTGGGTAAGTGGCTGATAATATGCCTCTTACCAAAAGCCTGGCCAGACAGGGGATAGTGCACTTTCCGATTCCTTAATTCTATAAGGAGAGGCATAAAGAGAGCCTCTTGTCCCTCCCCATCCCCAGCCCAATACAGAACATCAGATCAACAAATACCCCATTGTCCAGCCCTGGTGACCACCACAGGGTACGTTCTGGGGCCCTAGGGGACAAGAGGACAAAGGGAGACTTTCTTCTCCATTTAGGGGTTTGCAGTAAATTCAGGAATTCTTTTTAGGGCTCCCAATCCACAGCTGGGTTTCTTATTTCATAGAGTACAGCTGGTGGGAAAAAACTGGGCAGCAGACCCTCCAGGCAGGGGCCTCAGGCTTGCCATCTGTGACAGCTCCCGGGCCTTCCAAGGCCGAGATGGTGTGGGAGAGGATTCACGAAATACACTTGCCCCTCCTCCATCCACCCCAACACTACTCACCATCTTCCCCCAAAGATACAGGAACCATTCTTTTGACTGGGCTTGATGTCCTCCTATGCCACCTACACCTTATGCCCTCAATTCTTGGCATCCTGAAAGGTCACCCAACCTGCTCATAAAGATCAGCCTGGCTATGGAAGGGCACACTCTTGGGGAAAGACCTGGAAACAAAAGCACTCTAGGTAGACCGTCCCTATGGCCACCCCTTAGATGATAGTCTTTGAGTGGAGGTAGAATCAGAGTGTATTAGAAAGGTCTCCGAGATCCGGGTGGAAAATTTTCTGTAGGAACATACCAGATCCCCCATGGAGTTGACCACGAACCCTGGACACCAGTCAGCATCCTCGGGGCAGTAGCCAGCACCTGGCCACCCTGTCTGGGTCAGGTTTGAGCCAGACGCTTCTCTGCTTGCTTGTCCTGTGGTTTCACCTGTGTTCTGTTTTGTCTTCCCTCTCTCATCCTTTCTCCCTCTCTCTGGCCATCTTGGGCGCTGTGTTCTGAAGCTACTCCAACTGCAGGTACCGTACCAGCAGCAGAGGTAATGGGCATGGCATGGGACAATGCAGGTGGAGCCCAGCCCAGCCAGGGTGGAGAAGGAGGGAGAAGCTTGGGATGAAAGCATGCTCCAGACTTACCCTTTCAGGGGTTGGGAAGCCAGACTGTCAAGAGGGATGTATGCGGAGGACGGGACCAGAGGAGCTCAAACCCTCCCCCTCTTCCCTTCACATACTCTTGGCCCCCCTCGGATGGCTTAGGAGGGGCCCCCCCACACACATGGGCTCCAGACCTAGCCTCTGCACCTGCAGCTTTCTTGGAAGCTGAGTGATTCCTTCCCCGGACTGACCTGGGCCCTTGCCTAGTTTTGACATCTCGGAGAGATGAGGGTCTGCAGCCCTTGGGTGGCCGGCCATGTCCCTTGAAGGAATCCTGTACCGTGAGTGGAGGCAGCTGCTCCTGTCTTCTGGTCAGGCTGCCATCCCCTGAAAGGGTGACCTATGGGTGAGCACACTGTGCAACACTGTGCATGTTGACCATGCATGCTGCATGGGGGCCCAGCACCAGCTCTGCCATCTACCATGGGTTCTGGTCAGTGACCGTGAGTGATCTTGTCCTTGGATAGGGCCAGGTGCTCCAGGACCTGGAGTCTTAGTGGGCACCATGGGCTGATTGTTCCCTCGCCCCTTAGAAACGCAGCTCCTCAGAGTCTTCAGCATGAACAGCCTCCACTCTCGGGGTCTGGGAGGTAAATGCATAGCAGAAGTGAGGAGTGGGTGGACAGGTCCCGGCTTAGGAAATGGCCTGCTGATCACAGTCCTCTCAAGCCCTCATGTTGTGGGTTTGAGGACACCAAAGGGTGTGTCACCGCAGGAGGCCTATCCTCAAGCTGGAGGTGCTATGCAGGGAACCCCAGGGCTCCTTCCCCTGTCCTCCTCTGACGCTGAGGGCAAGGCGCACCCTGGCAGAGCAAAGGCTAGGGGGCAGGGGATCACTAGAGCCTCCTGAAGCTCTAGGCAGCAGGGAGGACTGAGAAGCAGGTGAGGAACCGGGGGATTGGCTTATGAAGATAACTGCCTGATCTGGTTTCCTCCTACCCCCATTTTAGGTTGATTCTATTTCTGTTGCACACCCTGCTTCCTTCAATTTGTGTTTGTGTTGCCAGATCTGTGGGTGGTGCACAGTCATCATCCTTCCCTGTCCCCACCCCTCCAGCTCTCCATCCCCCCTCCACATCATCACCCAGGCTGGTGGGTCCCAGTGCCTCCCCACAGGGCCCGAATACCTCCGCTGGCATATGAGGTAGAGAGATGTCCTGGGCCTGGGAACCGTGGAGAAAGCCATCCTTGTACTCTGGGGGCTGCCCTGGCTTTCCGATGCAACTTGGCACGAGGGTTTCTTCTGGAACTATTCTAGCAGGTGCTCAGGGTAGCCTAAGCAGGCTTAGTAAACATAGAAGGTAGAGATACAGGACACCAAGAGAATCCTCCGGAAGTTCATTGGTCAAGCAGCTCCCAGCCTGCCTCCCCCTTTCTGGCACCCTGGGACCCAAGGCAGGTGGGTCGGGTAGCAGGGAGTCTGCCTTGCTCAGCGAGCATCTGAGCCTGCCTGGGCTGCCCCTCTCATGAGTGGCACCTGCGAGGGGGAGGTGATCATTCCAAACCCCCCACCTTCTGCCGCCCATTTAGAAAAGATCCAGGCCCATCATGGCATGACCATGCGTGCACGGTCTCTGACCCTCCATCAAATGTGCTTCCTTGGCGCCAGCTTCCCTGTGACATGGTGGTAGAGGTACGGTGTACGTCTTTGTAAATGAGATGTGCTCGTGGCTTCGGCTCTTCTCAGCTGTAAATGCTCTAGAACCTTCTGCACAATCTGCAGGTGCCAAGCAATGGAGCCCAGGTCCGACATTTCTGATGTGGGTCTGTTGTCCAGCCCACTGCTCCCTTCCCTCTCCTCTTCCCCGAGCCTGGGTGTTTTTTCCCCACACTACTCTGTTCACATTTAACCCGCTGAAAATAATCCCTCTCGCACACCCGTGTCTGTAGCCTCTCAGGATGGCTGCCCATCTGGCCTGGCCATCTGTGGTTTGGCCAGGGTAGTCCATGCGCCATGTGGCCATTTTTGGACTGAACCTTCCACCTTGGAATGTCTGGAAACTGCTGGCCTCCTCTGTGACTCAGATCGGCACATGTTTGCTGGGCAGCTCCGTGGCAAGTTCTGGGGTCAGGAAGATGAATAAGACAAGTCCTCTCTCCTCAATTTTCTCCATCTCTTCTGTGGTGTTCCCCGAAACTCTGGTGGCAAACCCTCAGCCACGGCTGGGGTGCCTTTCATTGTGCATGAGGTAACCCATTAGGCTGACATGGCTCTTGGGTAGGTGCTTCCAGCTCTAGGCCCACCCTGCCCCACCCCCACCCCCGCACCCCCGCACCCCCGGCTTCCTCTCAGTTGCCAGGCTGGTGCTCTCCATCGATCATTGACCAGGGTGGTTCTCCAGCCCATAATTCCTGCTTCAATTGGAGATGACATCCGAGCTCAGCGACGTGCCTGTCCAGCCTGTGGGCCTCTCTGTCTCTAAGCCCTTTGTCCCCTTCTGTCCTCTACCCAAACCCCGCCCCAGGGGATGAAATCCTCTGGGTCCCCTTTGACCTGAGCACCGGACAGTTTCCCCATGGAAACCTGCCTTCCCCTCTCGCCTACGTGAGCCTCCAACAACTCACTCCCCTGACTCAGAGCTTTTCCGTCTCGCCTCTGCCCTCCCTGTCTCTCTTGCCCTGTCCAGCCATGGGACAACAGACACAGCTAATGAGTGGGTCAGAGAGAGCATTGGTTTTCCATCTGTGACCTCAGCCAGCTGAGGCTGCCAGCTCCACAGTGACTCCAATGGGAGGACACTTGGGAAGCCACTCCTTGCCTCCTGTTCCCCTCTTACTGTAAGTACAGTAAGTCACCCTGACCTAGCCTCTCTTAGCATCTCTGTTCCCAGGGCTGCTTGCTGGAATGCGCAGGGAAGTGTGTGTGAGCCTAGCTGTGGGCCTGTGGGAGTGCAGTGTGTGCGTCTCTGCTTTACGAGAACCAAGGGGCATGTGAGAGCGTGTATAGCTTTGGGGGGAAATGCCACTGATTCTGGGGGCCCACGAAATGTAACACCACTGCCCAGGTGTGCACTACACAGAGCGGGATGGTTTTAACTCAAAAAGAGTCTCCCCCCCCCCCCAAAGCTTTTTGATGATGCCTTTTAAATAGTCTTAGAAAAGGAGGGCCCTGTGAACATTGGACTTGCCAGAAATGATTAGAAAATACACCATTGTTAAGGAGCCAAGTCAGAGCAGGTCCTGCCCACAGGTAGCCTCTCCAGAGTCCTTCCTGCAGCACAGAGCAGCATGGGAAAAGCCCATGTGTGTCCGTGGCCAAGGGAGCTGCAAGGGGCCAGGCCTGGGAGAGAGCTGACCTTTGCCCTGTGGGTCTCTCTGGCTTTTCTGTGTGTTTGTCTGTCTGTCTTGGTGAATGGGATAGGTGGATTCCCTCGTGTGGAGCTTTTGTAGCACTGGGCTTTCCAGGCCTGGGGCCACCTTGGACTAATACATCCTTGAACAGTGACTTTGACAGGGAGAGTTGTCCCCACCCCACACCTTCCTGATGTCTGCATTGACTGGGGCATAGGGACTAGAGCGCGGTCTGCTTTGACCCTGCGTAGGAATGTTTGGAATGCGTGGGACATAGCTGGCTACCCAGTGTGACTTCTGTGGTCAGCACCCTCAGGGTCTAGTACCGCCTCTGATCTTGCAACTAGGGAAGTGGCTGGGATCCCAGAACACTCCCTCCTTCTCTGTGGGGACTTGTAATATTGGAGACCCAGGGGAATGAAAGGGACTTTGTTGGTCAGGCTCTTACTGAAAAGGCCTCGGATCTCTTCATTCCCCCCCTGAGAAAGCTCTCTGGCTCCCTCCCTGCCCTGGCCCCCTTCTGGGCGGTGGGGATCTTATCTTCCTAAACTTCTGGAGCTTTGAGATGGGGCTGGGATGTGGCTATTCCTCAGGGGTTTACAAGTATCTTCTTATGTCTTAACGTCCCTGCCTTCTGCCCCATAAAGTGGACCATGATCAGATGACAGGAGATGGCAAGGGAAGAGGGGCTCTGCCTCTCTCAGATTTGCCCCCATCTTTCTCATCCTCTCGGCTTTTGGTAATAATGGAACTAGAGAGTAGTAGGGCCACCCTCGGTTAGCTTCCACGACCCTTTTGTAGAAGGAAATCGGGCCTGTGGGGACAGTGTCACATGGATAGACTTAGCCCCGCAGGGCTGACTGACACCCCGGGTAGCTTTGGGTGGGAGACGAGAATGTGAGAGAGGGCACAGATTTTAACGAATCTCCCTGAAGACTTATGCAACAAAAAGGCCCACAAATGTGTGTCACTTGCGTCCTGGGATTTCTCCAGCTACCGAGCACAGAGTACGCTGTGACTGCATGAGTGCCCATCCAACGTCTTAACGTGAAGGGAAAGGACTTGGGGCTCCTGGAGCCCAGATGTCCTCGGAAGAGAGGAGTTAGGGTGGAGTGGGGTAATTGCAGGAAGGAGCATCACCGGGCAGGGAAGAAGGGAGGAGAGGCAGGGCCATGGACAAGAGATGAGAGCCTGGGGACGGGCAGACAGTGAGACAGGAGACACAGACCCCTCTGGGAGGCTGACCCACAGAGTGGGGACTCTTCTCGCTCTGTCGTTGGGTTTGGGGGTGCTAGAACTCAAACAGCTGTGAGAAAGGGTACTTTTGGAGGGAATGGCTGGGAATGGGAGTCTCTCCAGTGCTCCTGCAGGACACAGCCACCACCTGCCCCCCTCCAAGGCGGGAGCTCCAGGGCCAGACCCAGGCGCTGCTAACTGGCCTGTGTCTGGGTGGTGCTGGTCGGGGACCCCATGCCGTCCCTGGGGCCTGAGCGATTCGGGGTGGGTCCTTCCCCATCCTCATCCTCACTCTGGGCGGGGTGCATGCTGGGTGCTTCGAGCCACACAGACCATGAGAAGAAAATGAAACACACACAGGGCTTCATTCTCTTCCTGGCCCATGGCTGTGTTCTCTCACTGTGACCCGTCCGACCCGGTCCGTCACGCTGGGGGAGGCTTCTGGTCCCTGAGCCCCATCGCCTCCCCGGGGCTGCCTGCCTTGCACGTGGGGCCGCGAGTCCAGGCTGGGGGACGCCCGGACCGACCGGACGCGGCTGTTTTACATTTCCCTCCCAGCTCCTCCCACGTCGCCCCCGACCACAGTGGGTGCCACAGGCGCCCCCGCTGCCACCACCGAAGCCACAACAGTCCCCACCATCCCAAGTGTCTCACCTACCACCGTGGCCACCACTACCGTCGCCACGACTACAACCACTGCCGCCACCACCACGGAGAGGCCTCCCACCACCACCTCCGGGACTAAGATGCCCGAATCCGGTACTGCCCACTGTCCCTGCGCCCCGTCCCTCCGCCGGAGGCCCCCCGCGTACGAGGGCGGGTCTGGGGTGCCGTTGGCCGACACCTCCCGTTGTTTCTACCTGGAGAGCGCACAGGGATTCTCAGTCTGGGAGCCTGGGGGCACAGAGCACCCCCTAGGCGCTCTCCACCTTGGGTGGCCCTCAATGGCTCCACAGCCGTGCTCTAGCCTCAGATCCTTGATGACAGAGGCCCACCCTCCTCAGGCAGGACCCCTGGGTCCCGGATGGGAGGGCTGCCTCCACCTCCATGCGGAGCAGCGGCTCGGGGCTGAGCACTCCGGAAGGGAGAGAGCGTGGGCAAGGGCAGGGGCCTGACCCTGGATAGTTGGCCTGAGAGGGCTTCCCGCCCTGGCCATGTCACTTCCAGCCCTGCAACATAGAGGAGAGGGGAGTGGTCGGCCCCGCCGGGCAGCTCTGTTCCCAGAGCCCTGCTCTTCCCTCACCCCTCTCCCAACAAAGCACATTTACAGCCCTCCCCCTTTTTTTTAAAGAAGAGCTTCCAGGAAAGAGCATTGCTAGGGAGACCCATAATGCTGGAGGGTGCTCTGTCCCTCTTCCCATTTGCATTCCCCACACCCCCAGATGCACACATGGAGGGAGAATCACAGCCTTTCTCGGGGCCCCTGGTAAGAAATGATTCTAGGCTGGCCTGCTAAGCCCACAAAATGTGCTGTTCCTCCATTCTGCAGCCAGGCCGGGAAGCTCGGTTCTTCCAGCATGAGGACAACCCCTCAGGAATCCAGCCATACTTCTAAGAACCAAGCATCAAACACTCTTTCATTACCATCCAGGGGAGGGCCTCTAGCTTGCAGAGCCCACAGGCCAGCTGTAGAGTCAGCATGATGCAGCTGACAGGGCAGGCAGGAAGCACCCAGAACCCTCCGCCGGCAGCTGTAGGGTGGTAGGCCCCCACTGTGTCCTGGGCAAGTCCCTTTACCTTCCGGGGCCTCACTTCTCAGCACCTCAGTGAGGATGGAGGCTTGATGCACATGTGAGTATCATCTTGAATTCAGTTACATGGAGATACATGAGCCCTAAGGGGACACATAACTGACACCATGTTCTTCAAGCCTTGAAAACACCGATTTGCTTTAAAGATACAATATCTAGAATTTAAACAATATGGGCTTTAGGAAGACGTTGGCTGAGGAGGAAGCCTGGCAGGCTATTAGAAGCTGCCACCAGTAGTTTGGTGATGGGTGTTCTTTGGGGCCACAGGGAGGCATCTTTACCTTATAACAGGGCTCTGTGTCCCCATGAATGCTGTGAGGTCACAGAGGAGATGCACAAAGGATGAAGAAGGGACTGGATCTTGCTCCCCAGCAGAGTTACTTGCCCTCTGGAGAGGTCGGCTTTGCTGCCACATAGGACTAACCCCATGGACTCTCACGTGCAACTTCTAACTGCCCAAGATACCATGGAGGACCTGCCCGTGCCCCTGAACTTATCCTTGGAGCCTGGGGACACCCCTCAAACGTCCTCACTTCCCTTAATGCAGCAGAGTGGCTCTGTCATCCATGATTTTTTAAATGATCGTTCATCTTTATCATGTCTTATGCCTTAGGACCACATTTCCTAAGTTTACTTTTTTCAGGGTGAAATGGGACTTTTTATTTGTCCTTAACTTGTTTCTTTCAGATTTCAAGGGATAACCCCTAATTCTCCCATTCCAGGACTCGGCAGAACAATCCATACTTCCTCTCACACTTTCTGTTCTTTATAGCAATTGATAGCCCTCCTTCCTGGTCTTTCTCTTTGAACATTTTCTTTAGCGGTCGATATCTAGGTCTCTGTACATGGCACTGCCTTCCCCCAGCTCTCACCTCTAAGTCTTTTGCTTCCCCATCACTTCACCTTTTCTAGCAGTGCCCCAATCTCCACTACCTTTGAGACCGTCAGATTTGGGGCAGTATTGTATTGGTGGCCAAACTGTTTAAACCCAAATTCTCTGGCTATTTCCAGGCCCCAGAGCTGAGGAGGAAGAAGCTCAAGTTCCCAAATCATGAGTTCTCCTAGTTCATTCCCACTCGCAAGAACCATGAGATTCCAAGGAGCTGGGATTTGGGGTGGCTAAAAGCCACCAGTACAATGGAGACCCCAGGCAGATAAGTAAAGAAGCCTGTGTTCTGCCCTTCCCACAGAGAATGCCCCATGGCGCCATCAGTGGAGTCTCTTTCTTGGCCCCTCACCTAACATGAATCATATTCACCTGGGGCAACCGGCAACTGACAAGGTTGTAGTAGAGAAGGCACTTCTTTGAAGTGAAGACCAGGAGATCTTTTATCACCTCCCAGCCCTGCAGACTCAGTCACATGTCAAATAGATAATGAATAAATGCATCACCAACGTACTCTATTCATTTATTTTTGACAAGTGAGTTGGTGACAGTGCCCCCTTGAATGCTAATAAAATATACAGGAGCCACACTTGTAAAGTCTTTGAAATATAAGGCTTCATGCTAGTACTCCACTATTAAATCTTTGCTGGGAAATGGGGTAATCAGACTGCTGGGACTCGTGAAAAATGATTACGTTTGAAGATTAGTGCCACTCTCCTGTCCACAGGCTATGGTTTCAGACAGTGCCGTGGCTTTGATAAAGTAGCTCCCAGCTCGTAGGCACTAGATAATTAATGTCTTCCGTATTACATGGAGATCAAGCCTCAAAGACAATTTAGTGCTGAGAAGCCAAAAGAACTGGATTCTTCTGGTGTCTGAACCTTCGAGGGTAGGGGGTCAAGAAGGAGTTACCTTCTTTGGGTCCCACCTAGCCCAGGAGAGGGAGATGAGGGGTTCATACCTCTCCTCTCTACTTGGGACCCTGGGGCTGTAGACCCCAAGTCCCCTCAGAGAGTCCAAGGCCATGTTCCACATAATCCAAGATCTTGCTGACCAAGAAGGACCACAGGGACTCCAGAGACACCCGTCTGGGTTACTGTTCTCCTCCAGTGTCAGGAGCCCCGTAAAGCTCTCCAACGTTTGGTCCCGCCCTTTCTACACATCACGACTCTCGAGGGCCTTTGGAAGATCCCTCTCTCCTTCCTGTAGAACGTCTGTGGTTGAAGGGAACGAGGCTGGCACATCTCTCGCCCTCGGTCTGTATGCTGGCCAACGGGGCTTTCTCCGGGTTCCTTCCGCCGCCCCATTCCGATCCATGACAAGGGATCTAAAAAGGGAAAGAGCCCAGGTTCGAGCCCCCGGTGGCATAGGTCGAAACCCACTCTTTCGTTCCTGCCCCTACCTGTGTGGACACACAGACCGTCTCCAGCTCTCCCGCACTCACAGGTCCTCCTGACTGCATCCGCTCGTACCTGGGTGGCGACCTCTGGCCTGGCCACCGAGGCTGCAGCCTGGAGCTCTGTCGGGCCCTGTGCACAGCCTCTTCTGAGTCCTCCCTTTCTGAGCTGCGCACGTGTATATATATGTGTGTGTGCACGTGTGTGTGTCTCTAGAGCTGCCTCCCTCCTCACCACTAACCCCTCTTCTAACCTGCCCACCAGCCCCCGACAGGCAGTCCATATGGAACGTCACGGTGCTCCCCAACAGTAAATGGGCCAACATCACCTGGAAGCACAATTTCGGGCCCGGAACTGACTTTGTGGTTGAGTACACCGACAGTAAGCATTGCTGAGCGGTGGGGGGGGGCGGTGGCAGCAGCTGCGGCGGGTAGTGTAGATGCCATTAGAGAGATCCTGCGAACTCCCCCAGGCTCCGAGGGGCCTGTTAGCCCGGCTTAATTATGACTTAATGAAATCGATACGCGCTCCGGCGGCAGTGGGGTGGGAAGAGCAGCTGAGAGAGAAGGAAGAGGGCTTCTGAAGCTATTAGTGGAGGTCTAGGGTTGCATGTGCTGGGGAGGACCTGGGTTATGGGGCCCTGCGTCTGCTTCCTGCCCAGGATGAGGGTTCTGAAAGCACCACCACTCCCCGCCCCCCAGCCATGAGCCAAACCTCACTTCTGCCTGGATTTCCTTAACTCACAATCCATGTTTCTGGTGTCTCCACTAGGCAGGCTAGGCCAGTTCAGACTTTTTGAGTATAGCTGCGCTTTGCTCACAGAGGAATACCAGTGGCCTCCCATCCAAGGCACTGACCGGGGCCACTTTGTCGCAGAGAGCGGGTGGCTAGAGCTGAGCTGTTCACTATTGGATCTTAGGATCAAGGGTACATATTTATCAGACTGTAGAGTGTGGTCAAGATATCTGCCTTCTTTGAGGGAAGGGCCCTGCCCCTGAAGATTCAGACCCACTATGGTGTTATCCTTAGCAATGAATGAAACCAGCTCACCCAGCCAGGAGATCCGCCTGGGTGAGCTCCCCGAAGATCTGTAAGGAAAGAGCAAAGCCGACTGTCAGTCCTCTGTGGCTGGAGGGGTTCACATCCATAGAATCGGCACCCCGATTTTGGTCCTTGCTATTGCAGCTTCCTGCAGCCACCTGTACCCCGTACCCCAGATGCCAGGGTTCTGGCCTCTCCTGATGTGTGAATCCTCCACACAGCGAGAAAAGACAGGTGAAACCAGGAGTGAGAGCCAAGAAGTGGAGTCCTGCCTCACCTCCATTCACCAGGAGGGATGCTGAGTGGCTCTCAGACCCTCACCGGGAAAGCTCCCACCCAGGAAGTAGGTCATAGTGTTTAGTGTTTAAGACTGTAGTGAGGAAAGAAAGCTTGGGGAGAGAGAGGAGCGCCCTTGGCGGGAAGGCTGCTGTGTGGGAGAGCCGGCACCGCATGGAGGGGCTGGTGGAGCTGTCCAGTGACCTCCTGGTCTGCGCGGCGGCCTGGCCCTGCCCCCATGCATCTGCCCTTGACCGGTGACCAGGAACCTAAGCACTGCCTCTCCAGCTCCTCGTGCCTGGCCCTAGGCTGACTGAGGTTTCTGTTCCCCAGGCAACCATACGAGAAAAACTGTCCCTGTTAAGGCCCAGGCCCAGTCTGTACAGCTGACAGACCTCTATCCCGGGATGACATACACGTTGCGCGTTTATTCCCGGGACAACGAGGGCATCAGCAGTACCATCATCACCTTTATGACCAGTACAGGTGAGAGGGGGTCCGGCCTGGCCACCCCCTGCAAGCATGGGGCCTTTCATTCCATTCTCAGCTTCCTGCTTGTCTCTCCTCCTGTGAAAGGAGACTCATCCCACCCATTCCCCACCTTGCATGGCGTGTCTCGGCTCTTATTATACGTCAGTCCACAGCCCCCAGGAAGCCAAGAGGAGCCAGAGTGCATGCACCGTGGCGAGGAAGCGCCCTTCCGACCCCGAGGCGTGCGTGGGGAGTTCGAAGGCAATAGGATTGTAGGCTGAGGACGGAGGAGGCGCCTGGCCCTCCTCCTCGCTGTGCTTAAAACAAAAGGGCTTGGCACAGGTGCAAACTTGGGCCCTGTGTGTGGGTCTGGGGGCTGGAGGAGCGCAGGGCAGCCTGCCCCGTGTGCACAGGACCTTGCTTCCTCACGTGGCATTAAGAGATAGGGCCATCCAAGGGTCTCGACCTAGAAATCTTCCCAGCATCGGCATGTATATCCCTGCCTTGTCACTGTCATCTGTTAAAAAAATTCCAAAGTGTGTGACATGAGTTGTTGGGGGCTTTCTTTTGGCTTAATTTTTTTTTTTTAAATGTTGGTAGTCTTAAGATTTTTTATTTATTTATTTGAGAGAGAGAGAATGAGAGAGAGCACATGAGAGGGGGGAGGGTCAGAGGGAGAAGCAGACTCCCCGCCGAGCAGGAAGCCCGATGAGGGACTCGATCCCAGGACGCCAGGGTCATGACCCGAGCCGAAGGCAGTCGCCCAACCAACTGAGCCACCCAGGCACCCCTTGGCTTAATTTTTATCCCAAGTTTGCCATGGTTTCAAAGTAGTTGATCTTCATCGAGTTGGGGAGAGGAGGAAGCTCTCCAGTAGGAGCAGCGTTCTGGCTCGAAAGGGACTTCAGCTGTCGGTAGAGAAGCAGCCTCAGCGTGCCAAAGGAATAGGCCAGCAGGGGCTCCGGAAACGGGAGAAGGTCAGGTTGGGCAGGCAGCTTGGAGACTTGAAGGCACCTGCTCATGTGTTCGTGTGTGTCTTCACAGTCGGCCAGGCAGGTGGCCATGCTAAGCCCTGGGGCCAAGGGCGAGTGTTGGGGAAAGAGCCAGAGAGAGAAAAGGACCAGTCCCTGCCCCCAGGATGTCCTGATCAGATGCGGGTTAGTAGACACACGCACAGAGAAAAAAACCACACGATGATTTATATGGCATTCTGAATGTTGACTGAAATATTCATCGCTCTTCCTGTGCCTGGCCAGGCTCATCCTGGTAGGCTGCACCTTAAGAGTCACTACCCATCCGTATAAATGTCTCACTCCACCCCTTCTGGCCTGGTCCCTCCTGTCTGGACGTCCTGTCCTCGCCCCGTGCCTCCACTTCTACTGCCCATGCCCAGGCTGTCGAGACGCAGGGAGTCTGAGAGGCCAGCTGCCTGCTTGAGGCCAGCCCAGCCAACTCAGGCAAGACATCTGAGCAAGTGGCCTGGCCAGCGTGGGAGCCAGGCAAGGAACTGGACAGTTGATCGAGCAGAGCAGGTGGCTGGACTCTGACCCAGTCAGGATCCCAAGCTGTTGCTTATCGGTGCGTGCATTTGAGTTTGCTTCATTATCAACCTGAGTCCAGCACAGAGGCAGGAAGCACAGATAAGATCCCAGGCTAGAGCCCCCTCCTAGGGAATGCTACAAAAGCCAGGGCAGCCTGCTTCCAGAATTTGACTTCTCCCAGCGCTAAGTCCTGGGGCTGTGAGTGAGGGGTGCGGAGAAAGAGCCAGAGAGGAAAGGACCAGGCCCTGCCCTCGGGGACATCCCAATCTGCTTCCCCATATAAAACATGAGGTACAGGGGGAAAAAAAAAGAAAAGAAAAATAAGACGACTGATAATACACGTCTGAACATTGACTCAGTGTCCTTTTCTCTTTTCCTGTGGTTGTTCTGGAGATACTCTTCCTGATAGATTGCTTTCAGAGTGAGTGAGTTTTCCCAGATTCCTCTCCGTGCAAGCTGGGGTGAGCAGGTTTGCAACCCTAGCCCTGAGTACATATTGCTCATTGACGTCGCTGGCTGGCTAGAAATTACTATGTGCAAACCACAGAGGGAAAGGAAATATTTTCACTTTCTGAAATTTGTGTGTTTCTGGATTCTTTGAAAATGCACGCTGTGTATCCTGTGGGTAGACTCCCGAGCCAAGTTCACAAGATCCCCTAGGTCCCAGAGCCTCATCACAGCAAGAGTTTATGAGCATCTCTGGGTCCAACCCAGAGGTCATTTAGGTGACCACAGGCCATCACTTTAGTCCACAGACTCAAACATGCGGCAGTGGTTCAGGGGGGATATGGAAGAAAACCGCTAGGAACGCTAACCAGCTCCCTGACCCTCAGCGGGAAGATCCCACATGGAAAGTTAATCACCTCTTTGAAGCTTTTGAAGGCAAAGAGACCCAAAGGGGCCACAAACACATAACTCTGGACTCCAGAGGCTCGCCAGCTCTTCTGTCCTGGGGTGGGCGGGATGGGGCCAGGCAGCAGCAGGGAGGTGCTGACGGTGGACCAACAGGACAGACTGCAAACTGCCTCAGACCTCAGGAAAGCGGGAGGAGGGACATTAGGGGACCTCCCCGTAGTCAGCCTCTGTCGGTTTTGGAAGAATCCCACCATGGGGCACGGTGGTGATGCAGAGGCGTCAGATGGTGCCTCTAAGAGCAGCTAAGCCCAAATGCATCTGAAGGAAGTCCACCCCTGTTCTGCGTGTTCATCTACCCTTATTTCTGAAATGTAATTCTCCTGCGGACTTTGAGTAACTGGCCTTTGAGTCATGAGAACTGCCTGCCTTGCACATGAATGGCCCATTTCTGAGCAGTGTTGCAGGCTGTGGTGTGTGGGAGGCACACAAAATATGGCCTCTGGTCGGGAGTAAGAGGCATTTGGACCTGAGTTTGCCAGGCCTTGTGGGCCGGAGGAGCGGGTGCTGTTCTGCTCCCCATTCCAGTGGAAGGTGGCGAGTGTAAATGCCCCCCAGTCTTTGAATGTTGTCATTACTGTCTCCATCAGGAATCTTGAAACATGTTGAGCAGATCGATTAAGAATGATGTTGGCAGACAAATGTAATGCGCTTAAGCCTCACTGCAAGGCCTTCCGCCTCTCAGAGTCCACTCTGTCGGGTCACGTTGTGAGTGAGATCATCTTGTCCCAAATTGCTTTTGGTTCTTGAGAAACTAAGTCATTTTGTTGGAGTATGGTTGGGCTCACCTCACCCCAGATCCCACCTGGTTTGGGTTTAGGTTTTGGTTTTTATTGACATATCATTGACATACAACATTGTATTAGTTTCAGGTGTACAACATAATGATTTGATATATGTATATATCGCAAAGCCATGGCCATGAGAAGTTTAGTTAACAACCAGCACCACACGTAGTTACAAAACCCACTTGGATTTGAACAGCCTTCTGGGTCCAGAACATTCTTTGAGCCTTTTTGGTAAGGACTGAAGGTAACATCTGAGCTTCAGGTGCTGTCAGGAATGGAGAGCTACATTCATTTTCCGGATTGCCCATATGGCCACTCTCCCTGGGGTTGTGACTTCCTGTCCCAAGAGAAAGGGAGTCTCGGGGAGATGGCTTGTCAGGACATATCAGAACAAGCATCAGGAAGATGGTAGTGGAGAAAACAAACTGTTCTGCAGAAGGTGGGAACCACCATCCAAACTCAAGTTGTGGCGCATGGTCAAGCCAATCTCCCTGTGACTCCAGCAAGTATCCCAAATTAACCATATTGAATTAGGATTAAACTGATCTTTAATAAGTAGTCACTGCCTGCTTGCTATGTGACCAGCATCGTACTAAGCACTAGGGGGCCCAAAGACTCCCCTGTTCTCAAGCCTTTAATAGTATTAAAAATCCAGACCCAGGAAACAGAGCGATTGAATGTTACATTTCACGGAGTAAACGGGTAAAATCGGACTTCTGAGATTGGTGTGAGCTGGAGGAGTGGGAGATTCAGGAAGGAGGAGTGGAGTGTGGAGGTGGAGAGCAAGAAGGGTGGCAGGCCAGGCTCTCTTGGCCACGGGGGAGAGGGGAGCTGCAGGGAGGGGACGCGCAGAGCACCTGGAAGGCCAGGCATGATGGGAGGTGTCCTGAGAGCATATTGACATGATGTGCCATTGTATCCTTGGGACCTGATAGACCCGGGGTGAGGAGGGGACCCCTCTAGCCTGGAGCAATGGGGCAAATATGAAGGACACTGGAAGGAGAAAGGATAAGCCTTAGGGATGGCAGGAATGGGGAAGCCACTGGCGGGAGTGGAGAGCATCGAGGGGCAGGAAGACATGGGTTGAATTTCAAGCAGATGGACCATCCAAGGAGATGTTAGGATGTTGGCTGGGAACACTGGGCTTACAGCTGCGGACGTGGCTGGAGGGACAATGCGAGATGAGTAAAGGGATTGCCGGTTGGAAAGTCAGGCCTGGAGGACAGGGGAAGGTAGGAGCCAAGGAGGTAGAGGCATGTTTGGGAAAGACCCACTCCATGGTGGTAGTTGCTGAGTAGAGAGAGGCTTGAGGTTGGCCTGACGGGATTGGAGGAAGGAGCTAATGGGACCCGGAGACCATGGAAGATGAAGGAGTTTACCTAGAAAAGGACAGTGCCTGAGCTAGAGCTGAAAAGTCTGGTGGGTTCCTCCAGGGTTTTTATTTTAAGATCCAGGAAGCTTCAATGTGTTTAATAGCAGGAGGGAGGAGAAAGCAAAGAGGAAGACTCTGGAGGGTGTGAGATCCTTCTAGGACTGAGCCCCCCTAGGAGCAGCGAGCTGCTACCACTGCTCTGGAGGCAGGGACAGCTGTGGAGGCTGTGAGGTTTCAGCGGTCACACTGATGTTACCGGCATGGGGAAAGGATGGCGTGGAGCAGCATGAGAGGGAGCAACAGTTTGGGGGTCAGGTAGAGGGGAGCGGAGGGATTGCAAGGCAGCAGCAGAGGTCCAGTTGAGGTGCACATAGCTTACCAGCTCTGTGACCTTGAGCAAATCACATAAACTCTCTGTGCCTCAGTTATCTCATCTGTAAAATGGGGATGATAAAGCCTTCCAGCTTCCGGCCGAGAATGAGTGCTAGGAGAAAGGGGAATGAGAGCCCTCAGAGGGTGGCTGGTTGGGGGAGAGGGCTTTGGCTTTAGCTGAGAAGGTCTGGGGAGGGGGGCGGGATGTTGACTGAGGCAGCCATCTGAAGGAAGAGCTGCACATGTAAAGGCCTGAGGTAGGGCCGTGGGCGGCCAGTGTGGCTGGAGGAGAGAGGGAGGGAGACAGGCCTAGAGAAGTGTCCGGGACCAGCTCGGGTGGGGCCTGCCAGGACAGGATAGGAAGGTAGGTGTTTCCCCAGTAGCAGTGGGCAGCGTTGGAGGGTTGGAGCGAGGAAGTAATTTGCTCGTATGTGGGGTTCTGGGAGGATCTCTGGGACACTGTCCAGGGAACGGCCTGCAGGAGCAGGAGTGGGGGGGATGGGATTCCTCCCACAACATTCACAGATCGGGTGAGCACAACCAGGGCAGAGAGCACGAAAGCCTTTGCTCATCAGTCTTCCCCATTTGTCCAGACCCTTCCTGGTGCCGCACCCTTGCCTAGGTACAGAGAAGGCTATAAAGACAGTTTCTCTGTCCAAGAAGAGCAAAGGGTAAGATTGCACCCAGACACCTGCCCCACAAAAGGGCATGAGATAAAGACCCTGGGGCACGAGGGCTCCAGGTCACCCCTCTGTTCCTTGTGCTCCCCTCAACCCCGGGAGGAGGCCCCGTGCTTGGCTTGGGCTATGTGGGCTCTCTGGGACCCTGCTGTCGACTGGCACTCTGAGATGCCCCTTGGCACACTCGGAGGGCGCCGGGTTACTTTGGGTCTGCTCAGGGTGGCTTGGATCCTGCCTCTCCTCCCAAGTCTTGGTTCCCATGGCAGACTGGGTTTCAAGAGTGGGTGCTTGTGTTCTCTAGTCCATAGAAAGAAGAGTGAGGGGGTCCTGCCCACTCCACACCCCTTCCCAAACCCTAATGCCAACCATTGGGACATCCAGGACACCGTCAGATGGCAGCTGAGCTCTTGTCCTCTAGGCCCACTCACATGCCCCTTGAATTGTGAAGGGGTCTGCTCAGGGTGAGACATGTCTTCATGCGCTCCCTGCGGGGCTAGGGAGGGACTCACAGTCACAGGGGTGTGGGGTCTCCACGCGTGAAAGTGGTCTGAAGTGGCATGGGGTGCGCTGAAGACCTGGCCCCAGCCCATCTGGGGGTACCTGTGCAGGGACTGTCTCTGCCGTAGGGGAGCACACAATCCAGTTGGGGAAATGTGAGAAAGCACAGGGCATTCTGGAACAACACCCTGCCCAGGACCCACGGCCAGGAGACCTGGTTGGTTTCGGGGCCATATTGGTGGGAAAGGTTGCTTTTCAGAGCCTGTGCAGGCCTGTGAAGGTGTTCTGAGAACAGGTTTTTGCAATGTAACCACGGCCCCCATTCCCTGATGGGTAGCAGAGTCCCATTTCCTCACCCCAGGCTCACTGATGGGGAACTGTACCCCCAGGGCCAATCCCTGGCCTTCCCTCCATCCCCACCAGGCTGTGACCAGCCGTCTGGTTTGCAAGAATGCCATGCCCCATCCTTAGGAAACTTCCCCTTCCTAAAGGACCTGTTCAGCCTTCTGCTGCTTATTCTGCTCCCTATATCCCTTTCCTGTGCCTCTTTTCTGACCTCTGGAACTTGGCTCTTTAATTATTTTCTCTTTGTCCCTGTAGCGGGGTGGTTCGGGCCAGAGGGCTGCTAGGTAGTAGCATAAGGCTCAAGGAGGAACATCGACATGAAATAGCCATTCTTCCCCCCACGTCTCCCTCCTCACCTCCGCCCATGGGAAATCACTTGTGTGTTTGCTTCTGACTCTCCCCAACCCCCCCCCCAGCTTACACCAACAACCAGGCAGACATCGCCACCCAGGGCTGGTTCATTGGGCTCATGTGTGCCATCGCCCTCCTGGTGCTGATCCTGCTCATCGTCTGTTTCATCAAGAGGAGTCGAGGTGGCAAGTACCCAGGTAGGATGTACGGGAGGAATGGGCTTGGGGGAATGGGGCCGGCAAGCTTTCCTGGGAGCCACCAGGACCCTGACCAGATCCAGGGGGCTCAGTTCTCCCAGTGAGCCTAACCCTTGCCAAGCTTGGACATAGAGTCCTCTCGCCTGGTCCGTGCATCTTAGAGCTGCCAGAAAGCACTTGAGTTAATTAAGTTTGACCGAGGTGGGTGGATGAAACGGTCCAGGCAGCTCCAAAGAGGGGATAGAAGGAACCCTGGCTCCTATTAAGAATGACTTTCCCTCCCCTTGACTCACCAGCCGTCTGCTCAGTAAATTGGCTTTTTTCAGCCTAAATCTCATTAGGATCCTGTGTCCTAAGGAAGGAGGAAGGAAGAAAGGCATTTTCTCTAACCATGAGAGAGAACAGAGAGGGGAGGGTCTGAATGGAAGAAGCATGCCCATGAGAGAGGCTCTCAGTGACTGGGCTGTAATGACAGATCCCCCAGCAGAGGGTCAGGAGCTCCTGCTTGAAGAGCAGGCAGAGGTTGAGGGGTGGCTTGCATTGGTACAGACCCCATCGGGAAAGAGCTTTGGACTTCCCTAGCATCCCAAAGAGCCGTTGCTCTTCTGGGGGCCTCAAGATCCACCAGCCCAGACAGACCAAGGTCAAGGACAAGGACCTCTGGCATTCTTGCTTCTGGAAATATTGATTGTTTTTTCAAACAGGGGCAACAAAGCCATCTGTCTGGGATGGGGTGAGTAGAATGCCAGGGGACAGGATAATGGATGACCCAGTGAGAGAAAATCCTGCTGGGCTGCAGAATGAAATTGCTCCCTGCCCCCCAAAACCCCATTGCCAAGCACAGGCCGTGCTCCCCAAATGCCTCCTCTCTCTGCCTCTAAACAAGACCTCCTCCAGGGTCCCCCTAAGACTCAACTCAGAGAGAAGATTCTCTTTTATTTCCTCTCCCCACCTCCCCCCCACCGCATACCCTCAGACCCTAGGATTCTAAAGAGTTCTGCCTCTGCTTTAAGTGAGGGAGATGTCTGTGAGGGAGGGCAGGAAATTATAATTCTTTATTGGCGAATGATGTTTTCTTTCACTTTGTTGTGCTGTGTTGGGATTGTTTTTCTCCTGTAAAAGAGAAAGCCAGAGTCAGGGAGAACAACCTTACTGAGCTCACCCCCCAACTCATCAGATAAGCTTGGAGGCTTCCTTTGCCCATTTAGACAGTGTCCTTTTCCAGAAAGTTCTTCTCACAGCTTACCTCCTTCCCTCCAGCTGCAAGGTAAGGCCCTAGTCCGCTGGAAAGATGAGCAAACCATGAGGCCTGGGCTCTAGACTTTACGCTAAACTTTAGTCAATCACTAATGAATTCTGGGATATGTTCTTCACCTCTGAAGGGCTCAGTTTCCCTCTCCTAAAATGGGGGAGATTATCCTGCCCTATACCTCAGGAAGGATACATAGTCACTCGCGTAAGTGTCCCTGTGTGCCGGGCTCTGTGCTGGGTGTGAAGGACATGAGAAGGAGGGATGATCTCTCCCTCAAGACACTGCAGTTGGCACAGTGGGAAGATCACAGCCCAGGAGACAGGCCTGGGATGGGTGTGTGCAAACCACAGAGCAGGTGTGGGAGAAGGGAGTCCCACACACTAGTGAGGTCACAGACACGAGAGCATTTTCCAGCCCGAAAGTGCGTACAGACTGCCCCCTCCGCCCAGGGCACTCTGCTAGGGGCTTTTACAACCGTGCACAAATAATTACCCTGCAGAGCAGAATAGGAAAGGTGCCAAAGAAAGGATCACATCCATTCGGTGTTTGGGGGCAACCCCGTGGAGAGGTGGCGGGGGGCCTGGTGGGAGGAGGTTTCAGTTGTCAAGGGAGATGTGTGGAAACGCCGGGGTAGAGGAGGAGGTGGAGGCGTCAACTTGACAGCTGGTTAAATGCAGGAAGCAAGAACGAGGGAGGCATCGATGGTGCCTCGTTGAAACGGAGAGTGTCACTAACTCTATAGTCGGGGTCCTGTGGAGCAGGGACATAATCGCTGTGTCTGTGTCTTTGCTTCTCTTATCGGCCAAGTGCGAGAAAAGAAGGATGTTCCCCTGGGCCCCGAAGACCCCAAGGAAGAGGACGGCTCCTTTGACTACAGGTGGGTGATCTGTTTGGCTCCTGGTCCCCACCCCCCCATCCATCCTGCTGTCACCTCTGCCTCTCCAACAGCCTCTGCTTGTGCTGAGTGGGCTGGACGAGGCCGCCTCCCCGCAGGGAGGACTCGGCCCTGCACACTCACATGGATTTGAGGGACACTGTTCCATTCATTCAACCGCACAGATCCAATTTACTGAGCTCCTTCGATGTGTGTTTCCATCTCTTTCCTCTGAAAGCAGATGCTGGTAACACCATGGCCATGAAATGAGCTGTCGGCTTCCTCTCTGCCCACCCCCCACCCTAACCCTGAAGACAGGGACCTGGGGAAGCTGTATTGTCTTGAAACCTCAACTTAGTGAGGGATGAGGGGCAGGGGTGGGGGGTTCTAGATCTTTTCCTCATGAACTTGAATGATATCTCTGGGCCCTAGCCCAGAGCAAGTCTTGGAGAAGCATCTGGTCGGGGCCTGTCCCAAATCAGAGCACTGAGGCCCAGACAGGGAAGTGACCTGCCCAGGAACCCCACCCATACTTGCTGCCCAGCGAGCTGGTGGCAGAGCTGGAGAAACCAGGGCCTGACTCCCAGCGGGGCAACATCACGATCCATCCCTCTCAGATCTGGACGGGCCTTTGTGGCTGGTGTGAGAGAGACAGATTACACAGTTGTAATCTCCATTTTGATGGCAAGTGTATCCTGAGTTAAGGAATCATTCGGGGTGGGTCACGGAGGCCTCATTCCCAGACTAAGGCGGGCGGGAGGAGATGCTCTGATCAGAACCCTACTTCCCCACCCCCACCCTGTTTACTCTCTGGGGCGAGATCACCCCGTCTTCCCCTGACCTCTCCTTATCCTACCCTCAGCCTCCACCACTCCATCAGCAGCAGCCTGGCAGGCAGACGCTGCCCAGAGCCACTGCCCAGCCAGGAGCCTATCTGGAGACTTATGTACCAAATCTGTCCGCCCAGTCCCGACATCTCCAAAGGCCTCCTAAAACGGCAAGCAGGAGAGGCCCCTCCCCTGACTGTCCTCAGCACCCCTGGCAGGGCCCGTCTTCCCCAGGGGCTGAGCCCTATTTCCTTCCTGGCCACCGGTTCCAAAGAACATGGGGCTTTCCCTTCCCCAGGCCCTCAGTGCAACCCGGCCCCCTGTGCTCTGAGAAGCTGCTCCCTCAGGCACCTCTCCTCCCCCAGGCACGGAAGCTGTTGGGCAAAAATATCTGCCTTCTCCCCACCCACTCCCCTGTCCCACCCACATTGAGGCTGGATATAAGTACACAGGAGCATGCACGGGCCCACAAACCGCGGATGCACACGCACACGCGCACACACACCCGCCTCGGTTTTGGCTCAGCAGCGAAGCACCTCTCTGGTGGGTCTCTCTGCTTCTCTCTCCCTCATCTGCCCACCTGTGTCTCCAGGGTCTCTCGGGAGATGGGCTGACAGGTGACTAGACCAGGGACCCCCTACTCCTTCTGGTTCCTTTCAAGCTTCCCTTAGAAGAGGTCTGTTCTTTCCAGATCTAGATCCTCTTTCTCTGTAAGAACCTGACACACTCGAGACGCTCCCTCTGCCCAAGCTGGGCCATTCCTGTCCAGTGGCTGCATTTGGCTTAGGTACCTGGAATCCCCTAGAATCACACAGACACAATCCTCATGCTCCTGGGAGGGAGTGTGTGTAAAAAAGACCCGTGAGTAGGACCAGGACCAGCAAGAAGCTGCTAGTTTTCCAAACGTGAGCCCCACTCTCCATATAGACTCAGTGCAGCCCTGCAGACCCGCCGCCTCCCCGTAGCCCTGCCTTCAGAGAACAGGCCGAGGTAATGGGGCGCAAGAGGGAGGGCTCATAGCTTTGCATGGACTGACGCCCCCTCGGGCTCGGGCTCCGGGTCCTCCCCTGCTAGCTGTCTCTGTCCAGCACCAGTGTTGGAAGCCACCATGCGTTGCCCCCTCTAATGTCAACTCAGCCGGCTGTTTCCACATCCCCCCCCCACACACACACCCAGGAAGGACTAAGTGTGGCCTGGGGGCCAGGGAGGGGACATTATGTGTCTGCCACGCCTGGCACCGCGGTGGCCACGCCGGCTGGGACCCAGACTCCCACTGCCTCCCGGCTGCCTCCTGCCTGGGGGCCGTCTCCCCTCTGAAATGGGGCCAGCAGCACCTGGCCCCCCCTCAGAGCCTAAGGGCAGGACCTGGGGGCCTCCGAGGAGGCTGGGCAGGGTCGCCAGAGCCTTGCTGAGCTTTGTCCCCTGGTGCTGGCCTCGCACTCCTGTGTGTGCCCCTCCGCTCATCCCACCCTCTTTCACTCGAGGCCCCAGCAACAGCATCTGCTCATCGGTAAACCAGAGAGCGGACAAAACCCACACCCACGTGAGGAGGGGAGAGGCAGGGGAGAGGTTTGTTTCCCCGTGGCCCAGACCCATTGCTTTTAGTCAAGGGCAGAGCCTTTCGAGACAGGGCCACCCAGATCACAAAGAGTCAAAGCAAGTTCAACCCCTCTTGATGGAGAGACTAAGGCCCAGGGAGAAGAAAGGCTTTCCCAAGACCCCAGAACCACACAGTGACGCATGCAGCTCTAGCCCCCCAGCTCCTTGGCCCACCCCATCCTGCCTCGTCTTACAGCAGCTGGCTCTCCTCACTGTGGGGTGGCTGTCTCTGCCTCATGACAGGGACCCCAGCCCAGGAGTCCGGAAGAGTGGCCTCCAGGCCCAGCTCTGCACCACCTTGCCACCTCACCTGGGAGAAGACGGTCCTCTCCGGGCCTCGGGTTCCCTTCTGTAACCCAGCCGGACAGGGGAGGCCTGGGGGCTGGGGGCACTGACTGGTGACCTCTGAGGTCCTCCCCTCTCTGAGCTGCAGAGCACATATGCCTGGCAAGAGACCAGCAGCCTGGTGCTATCCCGCCTGGGTTTAAGCACCACTGGACTGGGCCAGACCCTGATTCTCTGTCTCTCTCTGGCCAGTGACGAGGACAACAAGCCCCTGCAAGGCAGCCAGACGTCCCTGGATGGCACCATCAAGCAGCAGGAGAGTGACGATAGCCTGGTGGACTATGGCGAGGGTGGCGAGGGGCAGTTCAACGAGGACGGGTCCTTCATCGGCCAGTACACAGTCAAAAAGGACAAGGAGGAGACAGAGGGCAATGAAAGCTCAGAGGCCACGTCGCCTGTCAACGCCATCTATTCTCTGGCCTAATGGAGCCCTCCCCCCCCAACCCAGGGCACAGCCACTACTTTGCAAGTGGGAGGAGGGGAGAGGGGCAGATGAAGGCACTGCAGACCTACCACACAGCCACCACCACCTTCAGGGACAAGGAAGGGTACAACAAGGGGGTCTGCCAAGCTGTGAGGACCAGTGACCGCCCAGCCAACCCCAACCCCCTCCCGATGACCCCCCCTGCACCCCTGGGGTGCCACCATGTGGAAGAGCTAGAGTCCAGGCTAAGCTCAGCTGGAGGGAACCCAGCCCTTTGCTCAGCCTCATGGCCACCTTGAGCCTTCCACCCCCACTGCCCGCCCTTGACCTCAGCGCGCACACCAGTTGCTGTTGGTTATGGCCCTTCATGTTGTCTTTATTTTTGCTTTGTGCATCTTCCCCATCCAGACCTAGCATCTCCATTTTCTTTTCCTTTCGAAGAAATGTCCCTGGACAAAGAAAGAATAGGTGGATTCTCCCCCAGATAGGCAAAAGGATTGACCTGTAAAAGAACATCGAGAAAAGCTGTCGTATTCACACCGCCACCTGGCCAATGTATTTCCGAAGGATGCCTTTCTCGCCAGATGCCTCCCCGGGCCCCCAACCCATGCGCCTTGGCCTTGTCAGTTGCTGAGCGGGGCTTGGCTCTTTTCTGGAAAATGACAGTATTTTTGGCAGGGAGAGAATGGGCAGGCCTGCTTGCCTCGCTCTGGTTCAGTCGGGAGGTGGGCTTACCTCTTGCTCCTTGCTCTCACCCTGCCCCTTCCTCCAGAGTGTCCCAGACAAGAACTGCGCCAGCTCTGAAGGAGTCTGAGGAACAGGAGTGGCCACGGATGGGAAGAGCTTCGACACCCGTGGCCGAGTACCTCAAGCAGAAGGAAACCGGGCATCTGGTCCCTGGGGAGCTGTGCTCACCTCAGGAGAGAAGGAAAGGGCTGGGTTTGGACTTCCTTCCTCCCCATCAATGAAACCCAGGATGTGGGAGAGAGGACCATGCCCCCTGCCTGCAGGGGAGAGGGTGCCCCCTACCTGGTCAGGGATCTCCGCCGCTGCCCTCACGGAGATGGAACCAGGCAATGCAGAAGCTTTGCTGGTGTGTTTGGGGGTGTAACTTGCTGCTCCCCCTCTTGTCTCTAGCAGAGAGCATCTCCTCGGTCAATTCTGTAAGACGTTGAAAGTGGTGTTTTACACCGTGCCACCCCACCCCCCACCCCCCGGCCCCGAGACCGAACCAGCGTGTCCTCTCCTTGGGGTATTTACATATCAGGAGAGCCCGTGGGAACACCACGCTGACCGCGCCGGAGAGCCTGGCTTGGGGACCCCGCGCCCTCCGGATGCCTTATGCAGCTCTGATCTGGCCCTGCAGCTCCCAGGTTCCCAGCCCCTGCCCACAAGCCTCGAAGCCTCCAGCCATGTCTGTCTCGAGAGTGGGGCGGCCCCTGCAAATGTCACCGCAGAACGAGAGCAACCACTCGACGCGTGCCCTGCATCCCGTTGCCCCCGCCGGAGACCCTGGCCGACTCCAGTTCTCTGAGACCGAAGGCGCGGCCTTCATCCTCCCCACCTAATCCGTTTCTGAAACCAAAGGTACCTAGCCTCAGAGAGAGATCTTGAGCCTGAAAGCAAGCCGGTGGCTGTCGCTGCAGCTAGAGTCCATTTCGGGAGGGTGAAGCTGACCCCTAGTGATGGCCTGCCTCTGGCACAGCCTCTGATTCGAGCCTCCAGCTGCTTGCAGGGCGGCCTGGGCAGGAATGGGGCTGTGTCCTTCAGAGGCTCAATTAAAGCATCATTTGCCACACGTTTTAAACCACAAAGGTATTAGCAATGCTTGCATCACTTAGTAATCAGTCATTTGAAGGTCAAGCCCGTAGACACATGTACTCTGTCTGCAGGTAAGAAACCATAGCCCAGAGCTGAGCCAATTATGTTGTTTGAACCTGAGAGCAAGTAACGGGCCTTTGGCCCCAGCCGTGGCCAGCCTTGCGGCCCAGAAGCCTGAGGGGCAGCTCTCTCATGGTGAAAGGAGACAGGGTGAATAATGGGGGGCTAGGAGTGAGCTCAGGGGTCCCCTCCCCTGGCTTTCCTCTGACGCCTGCCTGCATACAGCGGGGCATTCCTGCACCCAAGCCCAGTGTCCCTCAAGGGACTGTCAGGGAAGTGTGCCTGTGCACTGAATTGAAGGACCAGCCTTTCCAGAAAACACTCTGGATCGGAGCAGAGCAGTCTCGGGCCCCTCACTCCATGGGACACCCCTCACACTAGTGGGCTCAGTGTACCGCAGACAGGCTCGTAGGGTGAGGGGACCGTGCGCTGTCATGGCGCCAGCCCGCCTGCCGCGCAGCCAAGGACCGCAGAAGGGCTTCTGCCTGCACGGGGTCTGGAGGAGAGCGGGTCCCTCAGCCCGGCCGGCTCTGAGCCACAGCTGCCCTCGGCAGCCACGAGGAGAGGCGCTGCCCGCGCCACCACACCGCCCACCCCTGGCAGGTGGGCGCCAGCCTGAGCCTGGAGAAGCAGTCCTGCGCAAGCAGAGATGCTTAGAGAGGTGTGTGGCTGGCAGGGTTCGGGAGCAGCCCTTCCAGGAAGAGGATGTCCGTTTTCCATGGGCCCGTGCCAGAGCCGAGCCCGCGTAGCCGGAAAGCAGTATTGGCCCACACCACCCGGCCAGCTGGGGCGCCCAAGCAGCCCCCCGAAAACCTACCAACCGTGGAGCCAGGAGACGGGACACCACTGCCGCTTCCGCCTGCCTGGCTGTTGGTGGGGGGCATCTTGCAGCGACCCCAGAAGCCCTTTGCCTGTGCTGCGGGCCCAGCTGCTGTGCTCGGCCGTCAGGCTGTGGGCTCAGGAGACACTCCTGAGCTTCTAGAGTGAGCCGGGCTCGGAGCCATAGTCATGCGTGGCCCCTGCCCTCCCAGGGCTCACAGGCCTGGGGCTGAGGCTCAGGACACAGAGGGCATTGGTTGGGAGCACGCTGAGTGCTTAAGCCACCGATGGCTCCAGGCTCAAAGGGAGACGCTTCGGGGAGAGCACATGGTCCACAAGGCTGAGCGAGACGGAGCGGTCAGAGCCTGCAGGGTGGGGTCGAGGACAAGTACTGCTTCCTGAGCCTCTTTGCTCTGCCCCTTGGGGCAAGTTCCTTAACTTGTCTGTATGTTGGTGCCCCCGTCTCCCCTATGTCATCCATCCTTTGAATACCTCTCCCCACAGAGGGGCAGGGGCCCACCTGAAGGAGCAGGAAGGCCAGCGTGTAAGGAGTAGAGCGCTGCAGGGCCAGGGGACAGCTGCCACCCACCTTGCCTGGCTTTTGGTGGAGGGGACCCATCTTTCCTTACCTTGCTATTGAAGAGATGGTTGAGGTTCGGTTGAAGGGAAAACCAGACTAGCTCTTTCCCTTGTCCATTGCCTTTGCCCTGGGAGGTGGGAGGCATCTGGTCCACCCCTTTCTGGCAAGTCCCAAGGTCTGGAGACGTGTCCACCTGTCCAAGAGGCAGCGCGTGCCAACACTGCTCACCCTGCAAGGGATATCTGCAACCTTGGCCAGATACTGCGTCCACAGCTTTCCCGAACACGGCCTTCGGGAAGGGCTGAGGACACACGTGGGCTTTCCAGCTAAGGGGCTGCCTCCCCCGCCCACACCCAGCACCCACGCACGGGCCGACCCACACAGTAGGGCAGCACTTTCAGGGGCAACAGTACTGATTATGACATCTTAGGGTGAGTTCACACCCCGACCCCTTGAGACGAGATGTGAAGGGCCGCCTGGGGTGCAGTGTGCAGCTCAGGACAAGGGGGAAGAGGCTGCCCAGGTTGGACCCCATTTGAGGGATTCCCGCCAACAGAGCTGAGAGAGAAAGTCTGATCCGAAGGAGAGGGAAGCTTCCCTGGGAACAGCCCAGGGCAGAGGTTCTTTAAGGGTCATGGGGCCCTTTGCAGGATCCGAGCCAAGCCACAGAGAGTCACAGAGAGCCCATGGGACTGTGGGGATTTAAAACGCTTAGCCTCAGTCTTAGCAAAGCTGCTTCGCTAACACTGAGGCGGGGAGGCTCCCCCGGCTCTCAGGGGGTGGGCAGCAGGTTCCTCGGATGCTGGCACAGGGCGTGCTCCCCATTCGTGACACCTTGGTCACCACTCCTACAGCCCCTGCCAAACACACACACGTCTGCTAGGAAGAAATCACCCGGCGGATCCTGGTTGAGCTTCGCATGGTGGCTTAGGAGTAGCATGTAGGAGGTCCCTGATTTAAAAAAAAAAAAAAAAAATCGGAGGAGACAATGAAACAAACTTGAAATGCCAGGAGGAGACAGTGGCCCAGGCAGAGCCAACTCCGGGCAGTCCCGTCCCCTAAACCAGGCAGGGGCCAGCCCTTGGGAGTTCGAACCAACCTTACTGCTGTTGCCAGCCGGCCCAGCCCAAGCCCGGGCAGCGCCCTGCCTTCTCCCCCCTGTTGAGAACAGCCTTCCCGAGACAGGTTCAGAGAAGGATCAGAGGGACAGGACAACCACCCAGGGAAGCCACGAGACCCCACCGAGCAGTGTCTTGCGCCACACGCCCACCCAGCGCACCTCTATCAACATAGTATTAAACAGAAGTCCTGTGATGCTAAGGCTGGAAACGAGCTCAGTCCCAGGGTGCGTCGCTTTGGATAGCCTCAGACTGCAGCACGCGGAGGAATCACAGAGCTGATCTCATGGACAGGACTCTTCGTGCAGACGAGGACACTAAAATCCACGGAGGGGAAGGGACTTCCCTGAGGTCCCGCGGCTGGTAAATCAGGGTGAGGGGAGGGCTTGAACCCCGGCCTCCGAGTCCTTGTCTAGGGTTCTCCACCGGCCCCCAGGGGCCTCCTTGGAAATAGAGGTGTAACTTCACATCTGTCTGTACCTCTTATCACTTCTCCCCCATCCTCCGTACGCCTCCCAAAATGAAAGACACAAAGGATTTTTTTGAGGCCAAGACCAGGCCGTCTGCGGCAGCCCACGGGGAAGCCAGCCTCGCAGGGCAGACCCGGGCCAGGAGAGAGTGATGAGCTGACTGGTGTTTGTCACTGTGAAGTCTCGACTGTACTCTGGAGTGGCGTCTCTTGTTTCGTGATACTTGGGACCCCCAGCAGTCTGCGTCCCTTGGGCCCTCGGCCGTGGAGGCTCGGCCACCCCGGGGCTCACTGGGCTGGAGTTCAGCACACATGAAGAGTTCAGTGAAGCAATAAACACAAAAATCTGGGAGAAGAAATCCAGAATTTTGTGCCCTACTCTGTTACTTTTTCAAAAACGATGCCAATCGGATGACCCTGCCCGTTTTTTTGTTTGTTTGTTTGTTTTTGATCCCCCCAATTGGACATCCTCAGTCAGTGTTGTCCCTCTGCCCAGCTCCCAGCTCTTTGCCACCTTCACCCTCCTCCTGGGCTGAGCATCAGTCACCTGTGACGTGGCCGCCTTCTGTCCCGGTCCCACCTCCAGCCCACCCTGGCCCAAGAGGACCTCCCGCCCTGCCTCCCCCCCGCCAGCACCCCTTTCCCCCCCACACACACCGTGCCGCCTTGTTTCTTCCGGGGAGGGTATTTTTTCCCCGACGTCTCCATGCCTTCCCGCACACCCACACACCTACAGAGTGGTCTGATCTTTTTTCCATTGGTTAAAGATTTAACTCTCCATGGCAGACCTTGTTTTAACCCGTCTCACATCATGTTCTTTCCTCTTTGCAAGTTATTTTGCATTAACCAACGTTGTCAGCGACAGATGCGGATCTGAGGGTGTCACGCACGACCTTCAGCAGGGAAGACTTCCGGGCCGCGGAGGACCATCTAATACATGGACTTATAAACTGACTGCATGAGCAATGAAAAGGCCAAATTATTCAGAATTTTTTTTTTTGGGGAATCACTGTAAAAAAAAAAAAAAACTGATTTCTTTTGTATAGAGAACACTAAACGTATAATAAAAGTTGTTCAAAATGGACTCTGGCCAAGTGATTTGTTCATTTTCTTTAGTTAACGGGAAGAGGGAGAGGGGTGTTGGGATTGAAAACAGAGAGAATCAAAAAGGATTTCTCCGGGGCACCAGACAGCGCATACTTTGGGGATTCTGCAAGGCCCATCATGAAGTTGGTCTTATCCTGAAAGCCTCGTTGGCACAATTTGTGTTCTGACCGTACAGTGACTGATATGTGTGCAGCCGTGGAGATGGCCTGATTCAACGCAACGGTATGTGTGCTTGTGAACCATTTAAGGAGTGCTGCGATGGGGATGCTGGGAGAAGGGGAGAAGTGTGCGATGAAGCTCTCCATCCCCCCACCTTCTTCTGTGCCCCTGCCCTTAGGTGGGAGAATACCAGCACATTTAATATTGTTGAAGGAATGAATAATACTGCCTACAACAAACCAAAAACCTCTCTCAGTAGACTCAAAGGAATCTCAACCAACAAGCAAATAGGGGAAGGAACGAGGCAGAGAGGGCTGTGTTGGTGGAGGGGTACTGATCCACAGTTATGCGTCCTTTCTTGATTCTTCAGCCTGAGTTGGGCTAATTCTCACTGAGTGCCCCATCGGCCGTCACCCAGGCAGGATGAATGGCAAGGGACCCCCAGATGTTGTAACTCCCCTCCCTATCCTCAGGGTGGTGTGGGGGTTAGGGAATGGGCAGGGCTGGGAGATGGCTCTGCTCGGGGAGAAAGATAACTGATGGTTTACAGGCAGGAATGGGAAATAAGGGCAAAGGATTCCCCTGAAAATGCAGGCCCCATTCTCCTGGATAAAGGACCATCAGGTAACTATCCAACCCACCTGGGTTTCCTCTTCCTTCAAAAGTCCTCAGAACAGATCGGGACCTGAGGCCTTATTTCCGGGTCTGGCTCCTCCTGAATTTTGGGGTATCTCATTGGGTATGCCATGTAACACCCCTGAACCTCCCTGATCACTCCTTAGAATACGTGAAAGATCTTTTTCTCATCACTCTCATGTTCACAAGCTGTCTCTGAAATCTGCCCTTCATGTCCATGTGCACCCTCCCACCAGTGACCCAAGACCTCATCCTGAATTGACAGAGTCCTTGCCTCTCCTGGCACCTACTCCCTGCTCGAAACTGCAGCCAAAAGGATCTGCTAAAATACAAATGTGATCCTGTCCCTTCTTTACTTAAGACCTTCAAGTTTGCTACAATACCTTCAGTCCGCTACAATAGGATAAAATCGTAACGCCTTGGCTTGGCATGTTAGACCTTTCGTGATCTGACCCCTCCTTCGGCAGCCTTGTTTTTAACCACTCCTCCACATGTATCCTAAATTCCCATTCTATTCTGTTTCCTGCTCCCCCTGACATGCAATTATTTCTCACACTTCTCAGCGTTGGCAATTCAATTCCACTCAAAAGTACCTATTAATAACCTACTCCGTGCCAAAGAATGCTATAAGGTAAGTAGGATAGAGTTCCAGTCCTCAGGAAGTTCAGACTGTCATGAGAAACAGCCAAGTAAGCAAAAGCAATGTTATAGGAGCACCTACCTGGCTCAGTCTGTAGAGCATGCAATTCTTGATCTTTGGGTCGTGAGTTTGAGCCCCACATTGGGACTAGAGTTTACTTTCAAAAAAATCAATGTTATAGTACCCAGGACAAAGGGCTCAATAAATGTGGGTTCAGCAAATGAATGATGGCCCAAAGGTGGGTCTGCTTGGTACACCCTCCTCCTGGCCTTCCATACGCCCCTTCTTCTAGATAATTCATAATCACTGGAGTTGATGCTCACAACCAGCCCCTGCAGCACCTGATTCCAGGCTTTTTCCTCTCTCCCATTTCAAACCCCTCCAATCTCCTTTCTCCTTACAGATCATCTCCCCCGGGCTCCTTGAAGGCAGGCAGTGGCCTCGTGCTGGGTCACAAAGTGCTGATCTTTAACAATCAGCTCAGGTGAAGTCTTCCCCACTACCTGATGTAGCCCATGCAAGTATGTGTGTGTGCGCGGGCGGGCTGCACAGTCTGGTTCAGACCCCCTTGCTCTGCGCCCAGAACATCTGTGTTTTGTCTTTCCCAGAGAGTCCTCATGCACGTATTGCCTATTTGTTTCACGAAATCGTGAACATCCTGAGTATGAGAGATTTTCTTCATCTGTGTGTCCACAGGCCAGTGGCGGGCACACAGCAACGACAAAGCGAATGAATATGAATGAATATGAATGAATGGGTGAACCGTCTTTCCTTTGAAAGAAGTGGCTAGGTGAATTCAAAACTTGTGTCATCCTCTTTGGATACTGGATTTGCATGACTTTCGGGGGGCCGTGGGCAGTCCACCGGCCCACTTTTGGAGCAGGAACCCCCCCCCGCCCCCGCAACTCAAGGGGATAGAAATGGAGAGATGAAGCAAGCATCTTATTTGAAGAAAGCCAACCTCAATTCAGCTGAGGCCAAACAAAGCGGCTGCCTCTCTTCAGGGCCCGAGGGATTCCCAGAGTATCTGTCATCCCTCATCCCTGTCTCCTGAAGGCTGTGCCTCCCAGCCCATTAGAAATGCTAATCTCCAGCATGGAGCGGGATTAACCGACCCAGTGGGAGGCGACAAGTCATCTTCCAATCTTCATTAAGAGTGAAGGCTCTACCCATCTTGCCCAGCTGCCCCCAAAGGGATGGGATCTGGGAATTCATTATAGCCCCTCTCATCAAGGCAGCCACCACTGCTCAAAACCATATTAGGTGGAGGAAGCTAGGGGAGGGCCTTTCCAGCCTCCCCTCCGCACTTAATGCATCAGAGCCCATTTGTCTGATGTTGGCGCCTGCTGGAGCGAGGACCAGGCGGTGGGCCTCAGAGCAATTTGGAACCACAGCTGCGGCCCAACAGCCCGCCCCCAAGCTCCACTCCCACCCCCACCCCCACCCCCGCCCCTGAACTTGCTGCTGATTAGCCCCGGGCCCCAAGGCAGAGGAGCACGGCTTCGTGTAGACGGGGGAACAGTCACTCCGAAGCAAACAGATGAAATTACTTAGTGAGTATTTAACATCACAATTGCCCTCTAACGAGGCTGAATTCAGCGGAGGATCCGGGACTGATCTGGGTAGACAGTTTGCAGATAGGCAGTGGGAGAGCCCTGCGTTATTAGAGTGGGGAGCTTTTGGAGTCCCAGGGCGAGAGTTGGGGGCAGATGAGGAGCAGAGACAGGCAGCAGGAAGATTCGTACTTCTGTTAGTATGGTCCCTCGACCGGCAGCATCTGGATCTCCTGGGAACTTACAGACATGTACATTCTTGGGCCCTGCCCCGATCAACTGCCGCAGAAACTCTGGAATCTGTTTAACAAGCCCTGCAGGTGATTCTGATGCAGGCTAATGTGTGAGGACCTCGAGATGAGAGGGACAGTGACAAGACTGGGTACTCTGGGATGCGTCCCCTCCCCGTGCCCCCCGAAGTGTCAGTCGTGTCTACCCAATGGATGAATTTGCTTCACGTGAGCGGATCTTTTAGAAAAACCAGCCAAGTTGGTGAATTCTACATCCAAACTGATGCAGGGTGAAGCAGAGACCGCAGGAGAATGTAGGGGTCAGAACACAAACCCGTAGGCATTAGCAAACATTGTGGGAGAGCCTTCGACTTTCACGGAGCATGGAACTGGCAGGGGGACTGATCCATTTTCATCCATGTCAGAGGCACGAGGGCACCAGATGGTATCTGGGTCACAATACATTTACATTAAGTGACTTCAGAGAAGAGCCACTAATGACGTTGACGCCCGCCGTCTGTGGTCTGTGCGGGGAGAGTGATGTGCACTTTATGCAAATTCTCTCCTGTGACCCCCACACCAGCCCTCTGAGGCGGCTAGTGTCAGGTCGGGTCCTGCAGGAGGAAGCTGCGGTGGCAAAGGGCTGACTGCCACGCCCGGGGAAATGACAAAGCTGGAACTCGCTGCCAGGCCTGTCTGACTCTAAAACCTCCCCGTGCGCCATGACACTCGGGTATGAACGGGCATCTCCGTAACTAACAGGCCTGGCACTTGGTGCTGCAAAGACATCGTGCCCCCGCAGCCCTGGCAGCTTGTCAACGTGGCCCAGCCATGATTTGCCCCTTACTACTCAGCTCTGCTGGGGGGAGCACCCACAGGCTCCCGACCCCAGCCCAGGAGAGCCCAGGGGAGAGGGGTGTGGGTGCTGGGCCGCTCAGTGGTCCTGCAGTGGGGGTCAGTGAAGCCACAGGGACTCATCCTGCTCCAAGTCTGCCTTGAGTACCAGGAAAAGAAGAGCCAGGACTCTGAAGGTAAGCCCGGCACCAGCTGTGTGACCTCCGGCAAGTTACGTACCCTCTCTTTGCCTTTGTTTCTTCATCCATAAAACAAGGATTATAACTGTAGCTCTCTCGTAGGTTGGTGTAAGGATGAAATCAGTTAAAATGTGGAAAGTTCTAAGAAAAGTGCCTGATGCATGGTAGGTATTATATAATAATGCGTTAAATGTACATGAATGAATCCCCTTAGGCTTTCCCCTTCTTCTGCATACTAGAATGTTCTCCCTAGCCTCTACTGCTTCCTTCAAAAGTCCTCCCCATCCTTCCAGGCAGGCTCAAATCCCACCTTTTGTGACCAGCTTAGCCCCCAGGGCTGTTTCTCTCCAAGGAGCTGCTCTTGACCTTCCCCACGCACTCCCCGCCCCCCCCCAACTCCCGCCCTGCCAACCCTCACACACCTTGGCCTTCAGCATCAGTTCGCTGCCACTGCAGGGACTTGTGTCTTCTATGCCCGGCCAGTCTATCAGCTCTGGAGGGCAGGACCAGTACTCATGCCCTCTGGCATCTTTGTGGCACCCAGCCCTGCCCCTCCCATGCAGGGGGCCCCCACAGAGTGAGCAGGCCTCATTTGTATTCAGGCCGGCTGCGTTACCGTATTTACTGCCCAGCTAGTGTGGCTCAGTCTGTGTGGTATTGACAAGGGGGCACAGGGGGCAGACAGTATTTGTCTTCCTGAAAGCACGTTTACAAGGTTCCGAGTG